AGTATTTGTTGCTTGAAGGCTCTCTAATAAAAGTTACATAATGTTCCCACATAATGTTGCATATTTTCGAAGATAGAAACAAGAGCCATTGTTTTAGAAACAAACCACAACAAAAGTAAACCAAATTTGGAATAAAACAGAAAAAAAAGTGACTGAAAGCTACTATAAGCAAGCTTATGAACGCAGTCATAAGTACCATATTACAAACATTAAGATATATATTTTACCATGATCTGTAATCTCCAGAGCAATTGTCATGATCATGAATCATAACCTCAGATCACCCACAGACACAGACACAGACACAGACACAGACACATCGAGCATAACTTACAACATGATTTTTTTGAATAAATGAAATGCAGCCAAATGTTGACTGCAGATCTAAATTCTGTGGCTGCCTTAAGAGAGATTTTGGAATGTTACACTTAATGTGTCAAAGTAGCTTCAAAACGGAAAAGATGCACTGCAAACTAAACTTATAATTTCCTCAGAGTATCTAAAATGTGAGTAAGATCGAAAAAAAAAACAAAAACATTCAGTTGAGAAACACTTGCAGTTTCTCCCTTTCAGGAATAAAATTAAGCTTTAATCTTGGTGTGTGTGTGTGTGTGTGTGTTAATGACCTGATTTCCTACTGTTTGGATTAGCGTGTTATGACAAGGAAGGTTCTGAGAAAAGCCATTTAAACACACCTGCACTGCAGGTAAAAGAAAAGTCTCCAAGTGCTGCCAGTCATCCACTGCTGAAAGGAATTAGAATAAAACATCTTCAGTCAACCCACAAATCCGAGAATTTTGAAACTAACCGTTCAATGCTACCAGTAATATCTACTGAAACAGCTGCAATGTTCAACTATCAGCATGTCACAAACAATTCAGAGAATGATCTTATGTATTTTTAAAAAAAATCTTTTTTAGACTTGTTTTTTATTTCTATTGTGTGTATGGGCGTTGTATTACTAAGCATTCTCTCATTTAATGATTAACAAAATCACTTTTGTCGTTAATTCAAGAATGCTCAGTTATATTGGTTTGTTTTAAAGCAAAAGTTTATTTGGTCTGGGAGAAAGGTATCCACGTGGGGAGGATCTTTTGTAAATTAAGCGCATAGGAACCAGCTTGGCGGGTTTGGGGGTGGTGAATAATTAATAGAATCCAGTTTATCTCCTCTCATCTGGGTGCTTAACAGTTTGAGATATACTGTATAGAACCATAACAAGTTAGGGAACTTCACCCACGAACAGGTTGTAAAATTATTCTTCACAGAAATTTTGTTTCATAATATCTGCAACACCTTCTGATGTTAAATACACTGAAATAGGACCACAAAAACTTGATGCACTACAGAAAAATTGCTCATTCACAATACTTGCTCAGGATAAAGATATGACCTGTTATTTGGGGTGAGACACATACATTAGCACAGTTCATGCATTCTACAACAGTTATTTTGTTTTAGAAATAATAAGTTGGATTAAATAAACCTAAATTTTAAATGCAATATGTACAACACTTCTCTGCATGTTTTAAGCTTAAAATTACTGTCAGGACAATCAAAATAATTTCCAAAAGGTAACCTTTCCAAAGATAGCCTTGCTTCTCCCACTAACAACCAAAACCAAAATGGTGCATGAATCATTGTTTCTTGTTTCACTTAAAACCAATGTGGCACAAACTAGAATCTCATGCTATGACAATCAAATGGTCTAAATCCATGTTCTGCTTACTAAGGGAAGGATGACAAATAGAACTAGGGCAAAAAAATGGCTCAAGGTATATATGGGAGGTTGATGTGGTAAAGGAGATTAAGACGGCTGTGGAGGTGATGAGATATAGGGAAGAGCCGAAATGAAGGCTGTGTGAAGAAAAGAATTGAAAAAGAAAACTACAAAAGTGGAAATGGAATGGGAAAGATATGAAATTGAATGCGAAAAGAAACTCAGAGTATTTAGAATTTAGAAGGGCAACCACAAGATATACCATGAATTTCAAACTTGCCACTTCATATATAGCAGAAGCATGGAGGATCTCAAAATCAAACAACAATACGCTATTGCAACATTATGTAGTGCTACAAACTGTGAGCACAAATACAAATAATGTAACATTGTCAGATAAACTTAAGGACAACACTATCATAACTTACAATACTTAGGGCTCATAATCCCCATTCACAGCTTTTAACAAGATCACCACTGCAATACAAGTTGGAAAACCAGGTAACTGTAGCCCTCCCTAGGATGCCAATTAAAGCTCATTGCACAATATATGATTCAGAATCAAACCTGGACTATTTTAACTTTATAGTTTAATACAATCAAAGTGATGACTGAACCCACTAAGTCATTAGGAAATAAGTCTAGTTTTAAAATTCTAGAAGGTTTTATTAATGTGAAATCTGGATTATTGTTCAAATTAATAGGAAATCAGGAAAAAAAGACTGACAAAAATGAAGATCAAATATTTCACAAACCAAGAAGAAACCACCCATCTTCCCTCCTGCTTATTTTGTAGTGTATGAATTTACACTTTTTTTTCCCCATAGTGTTGTCTAGATTCAGGGCATGATACTGGCAGTCAATGAGCCAAAAATACTGTTCATATTGGCCCCGACGTTGTGTGCAGTGGCAACCATCAGTGGATTGCCTGTGCAGTTGTAAATTTCCATTACTCAACACTGCTGTGCATTTTTACCAGATCTTCTGAGACTAGCTTTAATAGAAACATGTAGCACAGGGTTCACCAATCCTGTTACGCAGCCAGTTCTGGATCCAAATTGTCATTGCCCCTTTCATTTCATGAGCTCCAACTTTAACCAATACCTTTTGAAAGTCCAAGTACACCATATCAATGGCATTACCCTCCTCCACTGCATCATTAGTTAAACATAGTTTGTCTCTGTTAATACATTTGCGCGGACTTTTCTTAATTAAAAGACATTTGCCCAAATAACTTGATGTATCATTTCTTACTTATAGGCAATTATTCAAATGTTTGCATTTAATCAATGGCTTATAGTGCTACCAAATGCCCAATCGAAATATTCAAAACCTGAAAATTAATATGATAAATAGGATATGTAATTCTAAAAAAGACAAGACATTTCATAAGTTTATTCTATCAGGGAAGCAGACTGCATAATTCATTCGTAAGTCACAAGGAAGATACAATGATCACCCTTATGATTGACTAAACAAGATATTGAACCTCATCCTACAGAATACAATTTTTTGACAAATATATTTTTTGGATACTTCAAGACTTAACAGATAGTCAAGGCTATTGAATCTAGCAAAAGAATATAAATTCAACAAAATATAGTGGCACCTTCCCAATCTATTGAAGAACCAAAGTTCAGCAATGACTAGCATTTATAAAGAACCTGTAATATTGTGAAATGTTCCATGGCATTTCAAAAGCAATTTGCTCAGGAAATTTCACTCAGAGCCATATAATGAAAGAAATATTAGTTTGGCCAAAACGGCTGATTTCAAAGGAAAGTCTTAAAGGTGAAGAGAATGATTGTGAGTCAGAGAGATTTAGGGAGGGGATCTAGAGCTTAGAGCTTAGACAGATGACTGCATGGCAGCCAATGTTACAGTTCTGAAAATCAGAAGCATAGAAAAAGGTCAGAATTGAAGAAGTACATTCAAATTGTTGCTTGTGGCTGCCATACATTAGAGGTTTCCCATGGGGAGGAGAAAGTCAAAGTTAGTCTCACTCCTCCCTTGTTCCCAAAAGTCTTGTATGGGAAATTCTGACCTGTAAAATTAGACAGAACTTCAGTCATGTGGAAGCAAGTCAGTACGAGTTAGGTATATATATAGTGAGAAAAAGAAGCTTAGACTCCTCAGCCCCAGGACAAAATGCGTGTGCACTGAGTGGCATGAGGTGGCTGCAGATTGGTTTTGTTCCTGGATGTACAACAGTGCAGAATGTGGAAGGCAAACTTATTTTGATTGTGATTGTACAACATCGTACAAATATGTCTCTGGATTGTTAAAGCAAATCGAGAAGTGATTTGGTACAGTTATCATCATGGTTACAATGAGTACTTACTATAAGGATTTCAGAGCTAATTGCTTTCCTTTAAATTACCAGTGGCTGCCATTAAATTACTCTTGGAAGAGTGAAATCATCTGTAGAAAATATCTTGAATATTCCACACTTACAACCAACGTAGACAGCATCGTGTTCTGTACTGCATATGCTGGGTAAGTACTTACACTTTTCATTAATGAAGTGAATTCAACATGTACATTTCTTTAATGAAGCTCTTAACTGAAGGGGAGCATGGATTAATCTCTCTGTCCTCAAAAGGAGAAAATGGAATCTCAAATATAACATATTGAAGTTAGTTGGTTCAAATTTTAAAATTTTGCCAATCACACAGTCATTGAGAACAATCCATTAAAATATAAAACAAAACTGAAGTTTAATTTGGAAGATTAAAATAGTATTTAGGTTCTGTTTGTTTTTCAAGTCATTGAAAAGCCAAAACAGTGGATCATAGAATTCCTACAGTGTGGAAAGAGGCCATTCAGCATATGAAGTCTGCACCAACCCTCCAACAGCATCCCACCCACACCCAGCACCTCCTCATCCCCTAATCCTGGAATGACCATGGCTAATCCACTTAACCTGCACATCCCTAGACACTAAGGAGCAATTTAGCATGGCCAGTCCACCTAACCTGCATATTTTTGGAATGCGGGAGGAAACCGGAGCACTCGGTAGAAACTGGGGAGAATGTCTGTGTGGAGCTTGCACAGTTGTCCAAGGCTAGACTCGAACCTGGATCCCTGACGCTGAGACAGTAGTGCTAACCACTGAGCCACCATGCCAGAGGACGGGCACGAAGGGCAGAGCGAGAGCGAGACAGACAGGTAACGAGAATACATAGCACATCTCTGCCGAGCTCTGAACTTTTACCAGTTGACTAATTTTATACACATGAGCATAAATAACTTCAATAACACTTACTTTTCTTTTACTTACCTATACTACTTTGTTTCTTTTCAGATTTCTTAGTCTCTGGGGTTGTGGTACAGAACACATCCATGGGAGCCCACTCGAGATAAAGTGGTACATGCTGGAACTGCATGTTAAAAATAAGGACATGGAAACATTTCAGTCTGGTAGTAATGGATAAAGACTGCCAACATTCTGGCAACGCAACACAGCTATGAATTTCTAATTCCCTATTTCTGCGGCATTATTTTGGTAAATTAAATAAAGTGTTTTCCAGTTACGAAACCAACTCTGGCATTTTTTAAGTGTGGAAAAGAGTCTTAAATGCTTTACACACTTTCCTCAAAACGGGAATCATAAGTGTACATTAAATGATGCATGTAATCTTGCAATTTTTCAGCTACCAAGTGCAAGTGCAAATATGAATGGCTCACACATGGTTATTTCCTCCCATAGAAAATAAACTACAAATTGCAGGTCTTAATCTGCAAAACCTAAGATCCTATATACATAAAACTTAATATATATATATATATATTATGTATATGTGCAGTACTACTTTTGAATAACAATTCATCAAGTTCCAAGGAATAGAGTTGGGTAAAATAGGCAGCATAGAAGACAGCTTTTCAGGCCAACTAGTCTGTGTGATAGATCATAGAAGATCATAGAATCCCTACAGTGTGGAAACAGGCCCTTCGTCCCAACAAGTCCACACCAAACCTCAGAGCATCCTACCCAGGCCCAGCCCTTTATAACCCACCTAATCTACACATCCCTGAACACTACGGGCAATTTAGCACGGCCAATACACCTAATCACATCTTTGGACTGTGGGAGGAAACCGGAGGAAACCCACACAGACACGGGGAGAATGTGCAAACTCCACACAGACAGTCGCCCAAGGCCGGAGTCGAACCCGGGTCCCTGGCGCTGTGAGGCAGCAGCGCTAACCACTGTGCCATCGTGCCATGAGTCTCCTGCAATTCCATCTCCCTCATCTCAATCTTTCAAGCCAATCTTCCCATTTCCTTTTCTGTGACATACTCAACCAGTTTCCTATAGAACATATCTAAACCATCTGGCTCAACCATTTTCCATAGTTACAAGTTTCACTAACTAACTAACCTCAGTAAAATAATTCTTTGTATTTTCTTATCAGATTTCTAAGTAACTATTACATGATATTTGGCCTATAATTTTGGAAAATGTAGGAACATTTTTTCTGGCTTACGTGGTCAGGCTGAATAGACTGGGATTATATTCATTGGAATTTCGAAGAATGAGGGGAGATCTTATAGAAACATATAAAATTATAAAGGGAATAGATAAGATAGAAGCAGGGTGGTTGTTTTCACTGACAGGTGAAACTAGAACAAGAGAGCATAGCCTCAAAATTAGGGACACCAGATTTAGTACAGAATTGAGGAGGAACTTTTTCACCCAAAGGGTTGTGCATCTGTGGAATTCCCTGCCCAGTGAAATAGTTGAGGCTTCCTCATTGAATGCTTTTAAAAAGCTAAGATAGATAATTTTTTTGAATAGTAAAGGAATTAAGGGTTATGGTGAGGGTGGGTAAATGGAACTGAGGCCATGAAAAGATCAGCCGTAATCTTATTGATTGGCGGAGCAGGCTCAAGAGGGCCAGATGGCCTACTCCTGCTCTTCGTTCTTATGTTCTACATCTACCCCTCCAAACCAATCATAATTTTAGAACCCTACATCTTACCAGTGAGAAACAGTTGTAATGCTTTTGGTGAATGTTTCTTGCTCCATATCTGCTGCAATTTTTTGTTCATGTTTCACATTTGCAACATCCGCAACGTTTTGCTCTTTTGTACCTCTAAGTTTCTCTCTTTGTAAAAAGTCCTATTTTATTCATAACTTTACAATAGCTATAATCTCACTCTGTCACCATTCTTGGTAAATCTTTTTGTATCTTGTTCAGTGTTTCTATGTCCTTTCTGGAATATGGGTCACAATTTAGTGCTCTCTGCAATGAGGAGGGTGGGTGTTTAATGCCTTCTCCCCAACTCCACAACTGAGAAATCCACCAGATCAACCTCCAACAGCTACACAGACCTAACCAGTGGGCTTTGTGACTGATTAGATGTATCATCACTCAAATGCCACTGAGTCAGAAGCTGCCAGCCAGTTAGATCTGGGTATCATTGCCAAGCCTAGGATGTACAGCCATAAAAGGTAACTATGGTAAGGAAGTCTGTGCATTTTTTGGTTCTTTAATCTCACTTGTCTTACATCTCACTCTGTCCTACATCGGGGTGGTGTAATTATGGGATAGAGGTTAGGGCAAGGAGTAGCTTTCAGCGTCAACCATGCCCCAAATTAGCCCCAGATTGAGGCAAAGGGAGAACCCAGCCTAAACCAGCTTTCATTTCAGAGACAGGAAAGCAGCAACTTTTCCTGATTGCTGGGAATGCAGGTATTTAGGCAATAGTGGTTGAAGCTCTTAGAAAGTTGTTAATTGATCGCAAAGGATTTAATTGTTGATGAACAGGAAGGTTGCCCATGGACCTTCTCGCCTAGAACTTAATTACAGAGGTGACAGAAGTAGACAGATATCACAGCAGTACCAAACCACCCGATTATCTGCACCTTCTTGCCAGATCTACAGAAGGAAAGTCCAACCTATGGTGACCAGAATTTTGTACAGTACTCTGCATTCTGACTAGGGCCCAGTGATTTATTAGTTCCTCAAAGTAAAAGGCTGAAATATGGTTCGGCTTTTGCATATGGGTGCACTTCTCTAACGCTGCCGTTGTTGATTACTTGCCTCAGAAACAGTGCCCAGGATGTTTTAGCAACTTAAATAACAAGAACGGATTTGGATATGTAATAGTATACCTTGGAATATGCAAGCTTTGTAAATGCCTGTTTTGCTTCTGTAGGTTCTAGAAATTCCACAATGGCTGTTACACCAGCTGATGGAAGTAAAACACGTGCAACATCTCCATATTTCTTAAATATTTTCTCCAATTCTTCCACTTGTGTTCCAACAGGAATATTCTTTACAAGGATAACGGTTTTACTTCTCTTCCCAGCACCCTACAAGTGTGTAGTAGTAATAATAATAATAATAATAATAATAATTCATAAAAAATGTTAACATTAAAAAACATAACTTGTACTACCAAAATTACATGCAGAATCAAATATTCAGACAATCAATTACTTATGTTGTTGCAGGTGCTTCTGAAGCATTATCAATCACAAATCTTCCCACTTTATAGTAACTAGTGGACTTTGGAGAGCTTGCCTTTGACCCTTTAATTGTTACAAGTCTTAATGTGCTCCATTCTACGATAAATTTGCCTTTGAGATGGTATAGTCTAACACACTCCCTTTCCTCGATGTGCTAGTTAAGAAATCTGCCTATGTTCACAAATCAGTATGGATATTGGGATTTACATAATCCATGTGCTAGAAGATTGACCTTATCAGTGATCTTTTAAATTGGACCATAGACATTTGTTTACCTTGCAGGACAGTAGCGATTCGAATTGGATTGTTGCTCATTGCATTTCATGGAACTTAGCACATGGACCAAAGCTCCCACTTTTGTTCCTATAAAGTGCATAGACTACTCCAAAATACTCTGGTAGAACAAAATATTTTAATAACGTAAAGAACAAGTTAAGCAAGTTATTTCATGCTGCTACTATGCAAGGTGATTTGAGTGATATTTTCCACTGACAGGATGCTATGGTCAGTCCAAGACGACTTTCAGCTTTTCACACAATTAAGCAAAGTTACGTACGAATCTCAGTGGTGGTGTGATACCAGGTACACAGGATTAATCACAACTTTCGGCTGATCGAACCATATAAAACTGGCTGTTCAGTACAGGCAGAGTACAAGGCCACACACGGCTAGTCCACATTTCCAAAACCCAAAAATATCTACAGTTAAGTGTGATTCCATGATTGAGTAGCACTTGGTGAACCAAGAGTCCAGAGCATACTCAGTTACACTAACAACCAACTGATGATCAGCCAAGCTCATAGTATGGCTCATTAACACATGCTAGAAGGGACACAGATTCATGCACAGGGATCTGTTCTCCACGAACAAAAAGGAGTATATTCAAGGCTGGTCTTTTTTGAATTACCTGGAAAGATGGGGAGCCTATTGCTCTCCAGTACAATGTTCTAGACAATCAGACTCAACTGGCCAACTAATTAGCACCCCTTTCTCCTACAGTATGAATTGTTTTGATTGGTTGAAACTTGGCATTCTTGAGTTTGTGTTCACAAATACAGGATGAAATGCTTCAGCAACATGTTTCTATTTTCAGTAGTATTTCAATACCTGTACACCAGGAAGTGACAAACTTACCTATTCATTTTTGTATCCTATGTTCCTACTTATAAAACAGAATGCTAATTTCTATCGGGACTCTTTATTTTAGGAATAATTCAAAATTACATTGTGTTCTTCTTTTCAAACACTTATTTTCTGGCAGTAAATTTTGTTCTCACACTGGAGCGTGCAACCACCAAGATGAAAACATATCAATTAATTAAGTTAATTTGTACTTATTTTGAATATCAGAAATAAACAACCAAAACAATAAACTGTCAAAAGTATTTACACATTCTTTGGATTTTTATTCCATATTCTGTCAATGCTCCTTTTCCACAAAATAGACTACTGATAAATACTGAACTGAACTACTGTTCGGAAATTGTGCTCTTGTGCTCTTTTTGTGCAACTATATTTGATGGAAAACATGTTTGAGCTGCTGGACAAAAGATTAATTACCACATGCTTCATGCTTCAGCAACAGTGCAAAAAATACATTAATGTTTCTGATAATGCATTAATCAACAAAGTTATTAACACTCAACTGAAGTGTCAGCTGTATTTATTTGGATTGTCTTACCTGACTGAAGGAGTCCAACTTAACTCCATTATCTATCAAGAACTGCCTGGTCTCTTGTACTATCTGCGTCTCACCCAGGGCCATGCGGACTGCAACACTGCCTTTTCCTTCCTTTAAAACATCAAAGTAAATATAAACTAGTTGATGTTATATCTGTGAAAGTGGTCCACACATTTTTGAAAACAGCTTCCTCAGAAGAAGAAAGCACCTATACTATGAAGTGATTGAAATACGGATTTTAATTCACTCTACTCCCGTTTAGATTGAAAAATGCTACTTAATCCCATTACCTGCATAAACTTACATTGCATTTGCTGGCAATCAAAATTTTGAATGACCCACTGCCAATTATAATTTCAGTTTTATTGAGCAATAACATCACAAATCCTCTCCTGTGAATGTCATCACATAAGAACAGCAGACGGCAGGTTTTCAGCAAAAATATTTTTTCTCAGTTTCCAGAATGTCATGACTGAATACGTACCCATTATATAAGAGAGGTAACAGGACAGAGAGAGGGGCTGATCCCCATGAGATGGTATAACATGGGCAGTGTAACAGAAAATAGCTAACGAGCCTTAGCAACTAGATAGCTTGGTTGATACAACATTGTGCCCTAGGCCAGACGGTTCTGGACTCATGGCCCAGAGTTCAGGCGCCCCTATTAAAAACGGCCAAAAAACACCTAAAAAGCTTTGTAGCATGAGATTATATGATCAAGAATGAAGAAACTGGAGAGTTGTGAGGAAATGCAGAATGGTGATCAATTCAGCAATTAAGTCAAAGCTAAAATATAACAAAACAAAACTTCAGTTGAACTTAGTTGCAGGTCTACTTATGGCCAATTGTCTTTCCAGATTTATTGACTACTATGAGTTGAGGGAGAAAGTTTTTAAGTCTACTATCTGTTGGGGGAATGCTACTGGAATCTACAATTTAGGACGATGTGATTAAACATTTAGAAAAATTTAGGCTGATTAGAGAAACAAAATAAATTTGTAAAGGAAAGGTCATGTCTAAGAACCTAAACAACTTTTTTGAGGAGGCACTTGAAATAGCAGATAGGGAAACGTTTATGGATGTAGTTTATGTGGACTTCAGAAAGCAATTGATGAGATTCACAGACAGACAGACAGACAGACAGAGTCAGCTAAAATTAAAGCACCTGAAGTGGTAGGCAAGTTATTAATCTGGTCAGAAGATTGCTTCAGCAATAAAAGAAAACAGGGAGAGATGAGCAAGTATCAGCATTTCCATACTCAAAGTTCCTCTTCAAGTCAAATCTCATTCAGTCTTGGAAATATGACACCATTTGTTCATCACCACTGGCTGAAAATATTGGTATTCTCTCCTTCATAGGATTATAGGAGTACCTTCACCACAGACTACAGCAGTTCAACACAATGTCTCACCATAACATCAAGGGCAAGGGGATGAGACAGCAGTTGCTGCACCACCAACAATTTCCAAATAATGTGAATGAATAATTTAAAGCCTTTTTTTTTCCTGAAAAAGTATAAGTGGCAAGGAAGTCACCAGTGATGACCCAGAGGGATTTTTGCTGGAGTCTTAAAGTATTCACTATATTCATTAAAGACATCGATAACACATGAGAGCGCCAATATCCAAGTTTGCCACTGCCACAAACATTGACAGCACAATAAGCAGTGCGGACCAAAGCATAGAAATACAAAAAGAGACACTAACAGATTAATTGAATGAATAAATCTGGTGCAGATGAATTTCAAAATGGAAGAACAAAAAAGTCATCCATTTTGGACCAAAAGAAATAATAAGGTTTTTTTTAAATATGGTGAAAAGCTACAAATACAACAACTCTGAAGAAATTTAACAGATTAAAACGTAGCCAGTAAAAATGCTAATGTAATGATACCTTCTATAAATAAAGGATGAGAATGTAACTGGGGAGGAAATACATTATAACTGTTTAAAGCTCATGTTAAATCGCATCTGGACACTGTGCACTTTCTTGGATATCACATCATAGAAAGGCCTTGGGAAGAATGCTACTCAGATTCACCAAAATCTCCAAGGTTAAGTCGCAAAGGAGAGATCATATCAACTAGGGTTGTGATTCCTGGAATATGAAAGGTTGAGGTCATTTTGCAGACAGTTTTAGGATTTTTGAAAGAGCAGAAGTTAGACAAAGAGAAACAATTGCTATGCTGGGGTTGTATTACACAAGACGACATAACCTTCAAATCAGAGCCAGGCCATTCAAGAGAGAAGGAGGAATAAACATCACAGAAAGCAGAAATGTGAACCTCACTCCAAAGAAATGTCCTAGCAGAATTTATAATTTCCAATTTGAGACTGATAGAGTTTTGTTAGCAAATGACATTAAGCGATGTGGATTCAAAGCAGACGATGTAGTTACTTACTAAATAAAAACCGAAAGAACTGCGGATGCTGTAAATCAGGAACAAAAACAAAGTTGCTCAAAAAAGTTCAGAAGGTCTGGCAGCATCTGTAAAGAAAAAATCAGAGTTAATGTTTTGGGTTTGGTGACCCGAAACGTTAACTCTGATCTTTTCTTCACAGATGCTGCCAGATCTTCTGAGCTTTTCCAGCAACTTTGTTTTTGTTCCTGATTTACAGCGTCCACAGGTCTTTCGGTTTTTAGTTAGTATTTAACTCACTGCTACATCTCTTCTCGGAATACCCACTTTGAAGAAGTTCTGCTCCTCTCTCCAACGCAATTTCCGTTCCAATCTTTCTTCTTGCCCACCGACATTAATTTCACTGTCACTCCTGGTGTTTGGCCAAGTATTTGCTAAAACTCGTTTCCACAGACATATCACATTCCTCAGTGACTGCCTCCCGCTTAGACTCGCCCTACGTGGATTCCAACTGAAGTGTCATCCTTCACGATTTGAATCCTCCCAGGATCACAGATATCTCCGTGATGTTCAACGTTCCATGGACAGCTGCTCTTGCCACATCCTGAGATCCACACTCAGTGCCATGTGGCGTCACATACACACTCTCAACTCTTCTCTACAACAGCATCGCATCACGCTGGCTCAGGGCTGCACCACTCCGCAGATCCACTTCATCCTCCGGCTCATTCGTTGTGCTAACAAGAAATTTTTTCTTTTCCTTTCAGGCATCAAGGCCCACAGTATGCAACAACTCAAAGATATCCACGGCCCTCCGGAACCTTTCTCTCCTCCCCTTCCCTCCGACTCTATCCCCTCTCCCGAACCATCCCTCCTAACCTTCCACTCTCCGATGCTGAACGTTCTGTACTCAAAGACCTCAGCTTTATTCCTCTGTGTCCCCACCTTAACAAATTTCGGGCACAACTTGACGCTGAACCCTTCTTCCGCCGTCTTCGCCTCCATGCCCATCTCTCTCCCCCAAAAAAAACCGGAACCGAAACGTTAACTCTGACTTTTTCTTCAGATGCTGCCAGACCTGCTGAGCTTTTCCAGCAACTTTGTTTTTGTTCCTGATGTAGTTATTTCACCAGCAAGTCTTGCACAGTGCTTTAAAAAGTGAGAGTTCCTATTTGTAATGTTTTTGGTGAGAGGTAGAGTCTCTTAAATTTTATCTCAAAATAAGGCATTCATTAGTTTAACATAACACATAGGGCATAAATATTTTAAACAAAACTATTTGTGCAATCCAAATTTAAAAAAAAAAACTTACATGATCCAGGACTTGGCTTTTTGTAGCATTATATTTTGCTGCTATTGCATCAGCAACAGCATTAGTTCCCATAAATAAAGTATTCCAGTTATGTGAGCTAAAAAGTACAAGAAAAGATAGTCATATTCTACATAGAAATGGATAAATTTCACTGATTAAAGATCCTGCTTCTCCTCAAAAATGGAGAGTGTGTATGCCTCTACTTCAGCTCAGCTATGAGTGTGAAGAGCCCCACTCAGATAATGGGGAGCAATGCATTTCTATCATAGTTGTTCAGGGGGCAGACATTACCCTCAGTTAGTTGGAGAGAAGATGTGCTGAGTTGTTTATATGGATATCCTATTTGCTTCATGGGGCTAAAGATCAAATTTTTAAAACAAAATTTCATTGATACAGGCTTCCTACCAGCAACCCCCTATCATTTTTGATAATTGCCTGTGTTTGAGATAGAATGTTCTGACTTTACATTTTCTACTTTTAGAGATAGAGAGAGGATCCCACAATTTAAGCTCAATGGCTGAGATACACTTGTCAATTCTGATTGCTGAGGGGGAACACCTTTCTACCAACTGGAGAATGATGGTGTTGGCCAGTATATCTCAGCAGGGTTGGAGGAATGGTGGCTAACTACTCTCAAATAAAGTCAGGAAAGTTGATTTTGTTTAAGCTGACTGTTCAACTTCCAAAACAGGACTGATTTACACTATTTAGGAGGCGAGTCTGAGGCTAAGATTGTCACATAAGATTTTGGTGCTAGCCCACTGCAAACAATAGATGCAGTCTGGTGTTTACAATAGCATTGGATCAGGTTATTATTACAATGCATTTTTTTTAAAAATGTGTTACACACAAATATCAAGATCTAGGTATTTCATGAAGTCTAAATTTAAAAGTTACAAATTACAAAACTTGGTTGCTCAATCGAAAGCAAACACTCATGAGGGAAAAAACTCTCTACACAGAAGTGTTTCAGATACGAAGGTTTTAAAACCGATTACAAAGTGTATTAACTAATTGACTATCATCATGTTAATCTATGTATTTAATGCGTGTATTCCAACCTGCTACTGCTGGCCTTGTCGTTAGCTGCTTTATTTCTCTTGTAAGTAGAGAGGCCTGATGTTTCACTGTCTTCAGTCTTCTCCTTTTTTACTGTAGATGGTAAAATGTGCATCATCCTGCCCTGTATCGATAGAAAATAATTTTGCATCATTTATCCACCTTCTTTTAAACAAATTTTGAGCTGTTGTTGCAGTTACATGTAGCATGAAAAATAATTTATCTTAGAAATTAAGTTTCATGTTTATGCATTAAATAACTATGTCCAATTTGTTTAGCAGTTAGAGATTTAAAATGCACAAAAATGGCACAGCACAGTTAAGCAATTAAAAACCTATGAAAACTTCAAATAGGTGCAATACATTAAAATGAACAGCCCTTGTTAATTTTTCTGAAGCGTAAAGCACTGTATTTGAAAACGGTTTTAATGTTTAGTGTTAGTGGGTCAGCATCACAAATGTTTAAAAGTTAGGATTCTGGGTATATCAATTTAAAGTACGCAAATAATTTTTTTAAGCATCCTCCAATCCTTGAACATTAATAGCATGAATAAAAGCAACAATGTGAGAGATTTTTTGCCTCCTGAAATAATGGGTTTGCCTTAAATATTCAATATGGTTTACTGAAATGAGGAATACTAGAAAGGATTTAATTGATTATGAGTCAGTCAAGACCAAGCTGAAGTAACAATCCAACTGCTCCATCCTCTTTTGTAGGAGATTTTCATTATTGAAAGATGTCTAATGAATATTGCTTTTACCAAATAAAATGTACACCAAACCAGGCTGTTTATTTAATTCATCCTCTACTGACACCAGTTCACATCACCAGTGGTAACAATAAGCATGGAATGGCACATGCCAATCTTGTGGTGAGGAGGGCTGAAGCCATGTTAATCAGTCCTGTAACAATTCACTGTCTATCTTCTCTGGTGTAGACAGAGGAAAAAGAAACACATTCAACCAAATTAACCCACTGAGACAGGCGTTTTTGTGATGTGTAACAATGATTACTCAAACATATTTGGAATGGAAATGTGCAGATAAACTCATCACTTACTGCTGAAACTCTTTTGCACTCAGCTCTAGTCAATACTTACACAGTGGTCCTGGTTGCACAAGATGAAGGAAGCTCAAGAGAGTGTTTTGTCCTGAAGGATTCATTTCCTAACTGGTTAAAATCCAGCAGTACCCTATTCAAGGGACCTAAAATTTTCTGGATTTAGGTAAATGGGTTTATCACGCTTGGTTCTAACATCAAGTATGTAGTGGTGCGGGGGGGGGGGGGGGGTGGATATGGAGAGAAGGGTGAATAGTAGAGAGTGATAAAATGCAAACATGGAGACCTCAAAAATAAATGAAATGTGAACAGAGGAAGAGGATTTAATCTTGAAATTGCATTACAAAAGGCTTATCTTCAAGTTAGAAACAAACATTAGCCTATTTTTAGTCATTTTAGAAGTTGACAATCACGATTTGCATATAGAACTTAAAATTTTGTTTTAAAATTTCCAGCATTTAAGCATTTTAAAGTTTATTGGCAATTTAAGATAGAGTTCAGCTACAATTCTCAAAGGTTCAACAAGACAGATTACTGACTGCCACCCTCTGGTGAGTTTGATGAGTTGCATACTCAGATGCATTCCTTTCAAATACTGACACTTCACTGTGAATTGTTTTCTTCAATGCTTTACCTTTAAAACTTGTTGTGCTACTTTTTCTCAAGTTCAGGATCCAAAAAGGGAATGTGGAAAAATGTGCAGCACAACACACTCAAAACTGTTGTGTGTTTTTGTGTATGAATGACTGCGAACTGAATCGGACGCCAAAAAATAGAAACAGTTTCTTCAAGTTTTATGGAAGGCTTCACTCCCAAAGGCCTGGTGGGTTTTCTTCCTTCATTACTACCTATCCCACCCTGATGGCAGAACATTAATCCGATTCAAGCTCTAAACGACCACTCATCGTATCTGGAAGAACGCGCCTCTGCTAGGATATCCCAAAATGAACAGCATGCCAGTCAGGCTGCCACCTTTAAAACGCCATTTAGCATCCAGACAAGCGCTGTTAGACTGGAGTTGCCCTGCACAGTTCCTGATATTTGCCCTGGGCACATCAGTAAAAGGAAATTTGCCATCTTGCTTTGCAGATAGGCACATGGAGGTCCTGGTGGACATTCTCTTCCCCCAGCAACATAATAGGCCTTGCCAGCCTGGTCGGAGATTGCCATTAGATTCAGTAGTCTCAGCTGTCTGGAGGTACAAACAGCAAAGTAGGAAGAAAGTCAATGACCTTCTCCACTCTGCAGTCCAAGCGCTATTTTCTCTGATATCTTATGTTTACTATCTCTGCGACTGCACCGACCTCCCATCAAGGCTCATACTCTACCACACTCAATATGGCATGCAACATCTTCTGTCATTTGCCATCACACCACTAGCCCTGCATTACCTACTCAGTTGTCGAGGACAGCTTCGCAAACTGCACTAAAAGTGCCAACTGCCCCACATAAGTACATCTCCCATAATACTTGCCTGTCAACAAGGAAAACAGTCATCAGTACACAGTAAAGACATGTGGAGAGGATCTGGATTCTGCCTGCCCAGAGTGGTTTACTGACCATGTCCAAGTCCTTGGACTGCATTGGAAGTCACCCTTAAATTTACTGTGCTGGGCCCAGCTCAGCAAAGGCTATGTCCCTTGACTGTGGACTGCTCACAACCACAACAAACCTCCTGGCCTTGTGTCTGTTAACAGGGATGGAAATACAGCAGTACTGTGAAAGTGGCACCTCTGGCTCAGGGGCAAAGTGCAAAAAGGGGCAAAGTGCAAAAAAGGGCAAAGATGCTCTGATAATCTAGGTTGATACAAAGTGAGTGAATCTTAAGTTCCAGGAAAACAGCTGGAGAATAAGTCTCGTCCAGTCCACAGGGTGTGTGCATGCCCTTAAACATCCTTGCCCAGAGTGTCCTTGCGTCCCTAGGTGAGCACTGAAGTGCAGAAGCATACAGTAAGCAGAGCAGAGCTGTGTATTAGGGTTCTTAGAAGCTATAAAGGTGTCTACTGACACCAAACAATCCAATGATAAATTCCAGCTGTGTATGCTCAGTTCATATCTTAAAAGTGATTGTTATTTAAAAGTTTTTTTCTCTTCAACTATACACTTTTGTTAAAATAAAAAAAAAAAAGTGGTTCGGTTGTCATTCTTCATTTCAATTTGTTTCAGAGATTTTGCTGCTACTATGCATGCTCCTGGGTGTCAGCAAATGCAGCCGAGAGGATGCCAATGTCAGCATGTGGCCAGTGTCCAGAGAGTGTGCCCCAAGGTGATCGTGCCTGGAGTCCAACATGGAGGAAGACGCCACTCTGACTTCCATGTCGAGAATTCTGTGTCCAATTTCCTTCGGCAAATGATACAACGGAAATCCGCATATTAAATGGGGCAAGTTCAACATTCCATAAGGTCATTAACAAGCAATAATCCACCTTAATAGACAACACAACCCATCTCCCAACCACTGCTGACCAAGAACTTTGCCTCGCTGCTTGGAACTGAGGTATAAAATGCAGTGAGATAGCAAGAACTGCAGATGCTGGAGTCAGAGATAACAAAAAGTGTGGAACTGGAGGAACTCAGCAGGCCAGGCAGCATTAGAGAAGCGGGAAAGTTGATGTTTCGGGTCGGGACCCTTCTTCAGAAATTTTTTTGTTCCTCCAGCTCCACACTTTGTTATCTATAAAATGCAATGAGTTGTTCTTGATGTCAAGCTAGGCCTCACAAAACTTCTTGTGCAATTCTGCCACAGTTTCTTGCCATAGCAGGTCCTTCAGGGCCCTATAAAAGACTGCACTCTGCATGTGTGTGCACAGAAAATAATTTTACAGAGGTGCATTATGAGAAAAAAAACACTATCACCTTTAGAAAACCGAATATACAAACCAGAAATCAATGCTTCACTTAAGAAAATTTCAATCTCTCCCTCTGCCCCATGATGTTATTTGCTTTAAAATATACAGCATATTTTGTTTAAAATGTTACACATAGACAAACTCTGGGGAAAAGAAATTCCTTCTACAGATCCTCGTTTCTACATTTTCTCCTCATTTCTCTCCCAGTTCACAGTATAGGTGCTATAGAGTCATACTGCACGGAAGCACACACTTCGGTCCAATTCATCCATGACAACCAAGTTTCCCAAACTAAAACAGTTCCATTTGCCTGCACTTAGCCCATATCCTTCTAAACCTTTCCTATCTTCATACCTTTCCAAACATCTCTTAAATGTTGTCACTGTACCTACATTTTCCACTTCCTCTGGGAGTCATTATCTCACTTAGATGTCAAGAATTATTATTGGGACGAGGTTCTGAAGGACTGGTGGTACTAGAGGAATTCTACAGCAGTTCTAAATTGGCAGCATTAGCATATTGTGATGAAATCCTCTAGTGATCCACTTGTTTTGTGCTGAACAAGCCAGTATTCCGTGAAATGTAGCATTTAGAGCACAATCAAGTTACAAGAGTCGTTGTTAGCAACATTCAATACTGTTCACAGATGGGGAAAGGCATATTGCAACATTTTCAACAGGTCACTCAGGAAAGTTAAGGTTAGTGAACAGGGGTTCAAAGAAAACAGGCGGGGGCTGCAGATCATTAAGTATGGGAAACAGAGAGATGCCGATTCGATCTTAATTAGTTTCCATTAATTAATTTCCATTCCCTTTGTGCAGCAGTTATCTGTACTGCTGGAAAGGCAGCTGAAGTTCATAGGTTCTGTGTTCAAGGACTCAGTGAGGAGTCAAGAACAGTTGGATGGATTCATGTTGTTAGAACAAACTCAGGAAGAGATTCTAGAAATTAGTAGGCAGCTAAGAATTAGCGTCAGAACTCAGAAACTGTCCTGGAGCTGAAGAAATGGGAATATTAATGGAAGTGTATTGCAGGGCAGCTGAGAGAGATTAAGAAGACTGTAAGCATTAATACTCAAGTGCAGTTGAGAGTGGGTCAGGGTAGAAAAGCTCACAAATGGTATTTGCTTGACATAATGAACATGTTGGGACCTCAGGGGAAAACCCACGGCAAAATATTATAAAACTCGTATGTGGTCTGTAAAAGTGGACCTCAAGGTGGTCAAACAATACAACTCCAGCCCTATGGATTGTTAAATTAAATTGAAAAGGAATTCAACAACATCAGGATCAAGGTGATCTCCTGGACTACTATTTTTGAATCCCCTAAAGAGTTCAGGAAAATTTTAACTGATTTCCCTAAGTGACCTTAGTTTTTACATGAATTGGCCTCTCCCCAAGTTCACAAAAACATGAAATAAACTAGATAGATTTGTTTTAAAACTGGCAATGAGTTCCATTTGTTTATAAAACCAAGGCAAACCACTGGCATGAGAAATTTGGCATTAACCTGGTTTTCTGAAAGGCTCTTCCGGCGTTATACTGTTCTAAGTTCTAAATTAAAACTGGAAAACTGTAAAAGTTATCAACAAGAGGACTGGTACAACATTTTGCACACGTGAATTACCTTTAAAATGATGTAACATCTTGATCCCCTCAGAAGTAATAGCTTACGTGAATGAGCGATAGGTAAAAGCAAAGATTTTGTTGCTAGAATTCTACAGACATTACTCACATCCCAGAAGTCTATTAAATTCTTCATATGTTCCGAAAATAGAGAACTATGTCATCACAAAGTCTGTGAAAGATATACCTCATTGTACAACTAGGTTAAAAGCACATTATTGATTTTGAATTCCAAATGTAATTGCATTTGAATCAGGAATTTTATGTAGAATTACCAAGCCTTACCTGAAACACTTCCCCATCTAATTCAGCAAAGGCCTTCACAGCATGTTCAGGCATCATGTACGTAATGAATGCAAAGCCTTTTGGCTTCTTCGTTAGGCTGTCTATAGGAAAATGAATCTCTGCTAACGGTCCTGTTAGAATTTAATATAAATGCATTGCTCCAAATTAATATAAAACATACCACAACTGTTCCCGATACAAACTGATTTAATTCTTCTGATTGTGGCAAATCAATTTTAAAATCAAATACATTCACTGCAATGTTTTTAAAAAAAAGTTTGTTTATATATTATGAAGTATAGTTACCAATTTTAGATAATTGGTAGAATTGCTGGCATTTACGAAAAATCTAAGTTTCCACAAACATTTGCATCAGCACTGCAGTGAATTATAAAAGTTTCACTTTCAACTTATTAAGGGTACACGTTATTCTGGCAATTTGCACTTTTTGCACCTTGTCTTTACCATGACCTTTACCTCAAAGCTCCATCAGTTTTAGTTTCTTTTAGGTTGTGATGTCATTATGGCACAAGAGAAGGCCTTTCAACCTTTTGGAGTCCATGATATCTGCGGAACAATCTAGTCAGTTTTATTCCTGCAACTCCTACTTCCAGAACTCTACAAATTTATTTCAAGCAAGAGCCTATCCAACTTCCATTTGAGATCATTCAATGTTTTTACAACCACTATCCTTGTGTGTGCGCGCGTGTCAGGGCATTAATAACACTCTTCCTTACAACCCTGCTGCAGCTCTTTTCCAATACCCTAATTCCTTGTACGACCGGCTATTGGAAATAGCTTCCTTTGTCCACCTAATCAAAACCAGTCATAATCTTGTGCACCTCTATCAAATCTCCCCTCAGTCGTCTTCTTCCAAAGGTGAACAACTGCAGCCTCAATTTAACAGTGTGGCAAAAATCTCTCATCCCTGAAACCATTGTGGTAAATATCCTTTGTAATCTTTCATGGACCTTCACATAATTCATAAAATGCTGGGACCAGAACTGTTGCAATCTGTGGCCTAACCAGACCACTGTGAAGCACTCAACATAATTTCCTGCTTTTATACTCAAATATCTCAACTAATGAAGTCTTCAATTCCCGTGCACATTATTAATTATTGTCTCAATATGTCCTGTTTCCTTCAATGGCCAAGGCACATGAACCCCCAAGTCCCTTTGCCCTTATGTGACATTAACAGCGTGGGTTTAGTTCCCACACCACCTGCTAGAGCACTCCTTCTCAACCTCTCCCTTCGGAGGTGTGGTCACCCTCAGGTTAAACCACCAATAGTCACCTCTCTCTGATGACAAAGCAGCACTACAGTCTGGTAAGATTATAGTGACTTTACTTAGCAATAAGCCAGTATTTCCTCTTCCTATCCCTTCTGCCAAATTGCATCACCTCTCATTTTTTTGCATTAAATTCCACTGCATTGCAATATTTACCACTTATTTGCCCATTCTGCTACCTTCTGTTGCAATCAGTATCACTATCATTGTGTGCCACAACTCCAAGTTTATTCTGCAAATTTTGAGATCTTAATCTGCATTCCACTATACAAGTACTTATATCAAAAAGAAAGCATTGGTCCTAGCACTGATACCTGGGGAACCTTATAGACAATCATTCTTCACTCTGAAAAATACACTTGCTGTTTTCTGTACATAAATCATTGTTATTGATGAATAATCCAAGTCTTAATGATGATGTCAAGAAGTCTTTCTGCCCAATTGTTTTCTCCAAGAGGACACTGACCATCCAATTCCACAAGCTTCAGTTTTATTAACGAGAGTTTTATGTGATACCTTATCAAATACTTTCTTAAAATTTGCATAAACAACATCCAGCGTATTCCTTTCATCAACGTTCTCTGTTGCTTTGTCAAAAAATTTACATTAGATCAGTCAAGCACACAATTTGTGTTTTACAAATTTGTTTGTTCTCCTTAATTAACTCAAGCCTTGTTAAATACCTGCTGACTTTTCTTTTCCCCTCTGATTACTGTTGCTAAATCTTTATCCATCTCAGATGTTTGTTATAAAGTGTTTATTATCTTCCTAGTTGCATTGCTAACAAGTCACACAAAACTTACGACTTAGTGTGTCTATATTTCAGTGTATTACCACTCCTTAAATCAAGAGTGAGTGAAATAGTGGATGAGTCAGAGAATTACACGCCTTTCTAAATTTCATGGTTTAAGTTATATTGTTCTGCCTCTTTCCTTAGAATGTTGATGCTTCCTACATGAACAACGCAGAGCTGGAAAATTGTGCCACAATACAATTTTGGACCAGAGACAAGAGTACAAACACAGTCTTTGTTTACCATTACCTCATTTTAAAGTTCAATTACTATTGCTTAAAAGAGAAACATGCCGCTGAAGCTTTTGGTTTTGCATTCGTCAGGTCAACTGTAAGAATGCTAATTTCTTACAGTTTGTTCAGTTAACACCAAAACGTGCCCTGCATTATTACTTCCTGGGAATACTCAGGGGTGACACTTGAATTAAAGTGGTTTTGACTTGTGTCTTCTTTAAAATCTAAATTAATTTAAAGAACAAGGTTGCAAAAGTAGAATAAGACATTGCTGAAACATTCAAACAGCAGAAAAATTAAACAAAAAAATTTGTCTACGATCACAATTTGCAAAGATATGAGTTTAAGTCATCGCATCAGGCTACGGTGTCTAGAAAGTTTCAGGTTTGATAAAACCTAATGCACTTAGCAATAATCTAAGGAAGGATTAGAATTAATTGGAATTACAACTGAATCGTTAACAATCTTCAGAATTAAGTATACAAATCACATTACTTTAAGAATCTGATTGATACCTTAAAAAATTCAGTACAAGGAATTTCAGTTGATAAGGAACACATTTTCTCCTAAAAGAACAGGTTGAAAATTAATTTGTTATTTGCCACACAACTGGGAATGAGAACAACAGCAGTAAATCACAGGCAAAAATCAATTGAGAGAGAGAGAGAGAGGCAGATCCTCACTTAGGAAATAAGAGCATCAGGAGATAAGAAGAAATGGAAGGCAACTGAAATTTTAAAAATTCAAGTTGTCATAGTTAGTTATTGCCATGGCAGAATAGGCTTAGTGCACCAAATAACCTACCTGCACCTTTCTAAATTCAGTGCCAAACCTGTCTGAAGTTGCATAAATAGTCATTTTGTAAAAATGTAAACACAAAAGTCACTTGTCCCAAGATATGCACTTGATTGCAACATACAGTAGAAAGAATATGAGCTACTTACCATATTTAGAAAATACCTTCTCTAAGTCTTCTTCTGTACACATATAAGATAAGTTCCGAACAAACAATCTTCCCGAGTCAGAAAGATCCTCTTCCTCCTCATCTTCTTTCTTTTCCCTTTGTAGCCATTTTTGGTCATTATTTTTTCTATCTGGTTTAGTTGTTCGAGCATAATTCTCCCTAAAAAGTTCAATATATCTTCCACCTTTAACCAAAGCAGAAAATATTTTTGAGATTAAATTTTAGAAAGTATTAACATCCTATTTCAGATATTAGAACTTGAGTAGTGATCCCTCTCCTATTCAAGGAAGAACTACAGTAAATGCCAGTGCTTGGCAGAAGTTAAAACTTCTTACCCATATAGTCTTTATTCCTTTGCAAAGCCTTTTCAAGATCACCTTCTGACTCAAAATCAACAAATACATAACCTGCAAAATAAATACACAATTAGACAAAACTGAATTGATGTCAACAGTCTTCTCAGAAGGAAGACTAAGATCTTGTGAAGGAGGAACATTACTTTCAGCATAACAGAGGACTGGAGTGTCAAGTGCAACAAGCTAGACAAACATAATTGACACCTGGTTCCAATAGAAAAGAGTCAGGTGTAGTGACCTCATCAATATTGCATTTGTTGCTGTTTATAGACAAGCAATCCTGTATGCTCCCAGAAGCAAATGCAGCTTTGTTTGCTTTATCTTTTTACTGCTGCTCAATAAAAGCTTAGGGAAGGAGATAGCTTAGTGGTATTATCACTAGACTATTGATCCAGAGCTCCAGGGACCCAGGTTTGAATTTTGCTGTGCAGATAGTGGAATTTGAATTCCATTTTAAAAATCTGAAATTAAGAGTCTATTGACGGCAAAGAAACCATTGTTGATTGTCAAGGAAAACCCATCTGGTTCAGTAATGTCCTTTAAGTAAGGAAACTGCCATTCCTTACTTGGTCTGTGACTCCAGACCCATGCAATATAGTTGACTCTTAAATGCCCACTGAGCAATTAGCGATGGACAATAAATACTGACATAGCTAGTGACATGCACAGCCCATATATGACAAAAAGAAATTTCAACCATTTGAAGGTTTTCCAGTATACAATTCACCAACACGGAACAATGAAAAGATGTTAGGCTACACTGAATATGCTAAAGAATAGCACTCCCGTAGACAGGTTTGTAAGGTGGTACGGCACCAAGGACAGGTAGCCTTTGTCGCTTGGTTAGTAAAGGTGCACTTCCAATTAATCAGACTGGTGATGATGTAAAATAATGAAACATTTATGAATCGGAGCTTGTGTTTACAACAAAATCTTACCCATGCCACCAACGTGCCTTCCGAAACTTTACTACTTCACAGCCCTCTCAGTACTTGCACTGTGAAGGGTTGTGTGTGGCTGGCACAGTTGATAGAAATGCTAAAAGGTCCATAAGACCATTAGACACAAGAGGAGAATTGGTCATTTAGTCCATCAAGTCTCCTCCACTCTTCAACAAGATCAAGGCTGATCTGATAATCCTCATCTCCACTTTCATGCCTTTTCCCCATAAACCTTGATTCCCATATTGATTAAAGTCTGTCTATCTCAACCTTGAATATACTTAATGGCCCAGCTTCAGCAGCCCTCTGTGGTAAAAAATTCCAAAGATTCACTAACCTGACAGAAGAAATTTCTCCTTATCTCAGCAGTGGCGAGTACTTACACCTTTGGTGAATGCATGAAAATGCAAGCATGGCATTGTAGAGGCATACATAACGTCAGCAGTGTAAAACTGCATGAGAAAACTCACCAGGGCTCACAGCGCAAAACCTGCTGTTAAGCTCCAAGAAATTGACATGGTGAATGTTTGATGAAACCCAGCCCGAAGTAACTAGGTTAAAGTAGATATGACGGGACACAGCAATGGAGGAAAATGAAGGAGAAGAAAATAAAGTGGTCAACAATGTCAAAACTAGAGAAACTGAGAAAGGAGGAGGATAGTGAGCTATTGTTTTAAAAGATGGCACTTGTTATATCACCTGTTGCTAGGATGGAAAGTGAAGTGAACAAACTTGAACAGTAAGTGTTAACTTTTTTTTAATGCTCGTGTGGGATGTGACATCAAATTGTCCTTAAGAAGGTCATGATATAACAACATTGACAACAATGGGGATTATAGATCCAGAAAAGAATACTAATTTGGATGATGTATCAAAAACTGCTCCCAACAGAGAACAAAGCAATGCATCAAGGCAATACTTTCAGGATTATACTGGAGGGAAGTAAGCATCTCAGATGCACCTCACTGGGCCTGGGAATTAAAATGTCAGATTATAGACAGAGTAAACAAGTGGCCTTAGGCTCCTCAACCTGCCTGATGCAAAATAACCACTCTAGCCAGGTAGTAGAATCGATGCACTGGTTGCAATTTCCATTCAGACACATGTGGACAAACATTTATCAGCAGATCATTTATGATTACAACTGGTTGCAACTTAATTGTCAAATCTCATACAAAATAGAATTTCATAAAAGAAAACAAGTCTTTTTTTTCCAAGTTGCACAGCAAGATTCACTTTATTGTTGTCATACTATTCAGTGAAATTTCATTCACACAAAAGAAAATTAATTCTCTTAACAAGGACAGAAATTTTAACATTATGCTGCACATAACACACATGCTATGATATATACTATATTAACAAATTCATTTACCATTTTCCTATTTAAAATAATCTGTTAAAGTACAAAATAAACTGTGGATTCCATTTTATACATAACTCAAATATTGTAATATTTAAAATGCTTAATGATGCAAAAAAAATTATATTCAGTAGGAAACCGTTATACTATGCATGTCAGTAAAAGGATTAAGAAATGCAACTTCACTCCTCAAAACAAAACACTTCATATAAAAATATTTGGTTACAAACCTGTTGTGTTTCCATTTGCATTTTTGACAATTCGGACAGCCACAGGTTTCGTCGGGACAAAGAATTCTCTTATTTGTTTCTGGGAAAAGGATCAGTATACCATATGAATATATAGAAGACTGAATGTGTGTGCGTGTGCGTGTGCGTGTGCGTGTGTGATAGGAATGATTTTAATGTTGAAGTAATTCACATTTATACTTTCTAATTCAAATTTTATCAAAATGATTGAAGACACTCGGTTATAAAGATATTTTATACATAGATGAACCATAAACATTACAGGCTACAGCAAAATAGCTTCTTTTAACTAGATTAACAATTTGTTCACATAATTAGTAAATACATCAACAATTATTTACACTGTAATGAATTAAAATCTAAAGAAAAAAGAACTTTATCCCTGTTTACACAATAGGGTCAATCAACCTGTACCCAATATTGCTTAATTCCTAAATAAAAACACCAAAGAATTGTGAATTCTGGAATCTGAAACAAAACATTGCTTAATCCCGTATGTGAGTAGTGTCTGTGTGTGAATATAATAGAAAATACAAATAGTGTTTGATTGATACCTCTTTCACACTGAAGGGAGCCCCTCGCAGCTTCAAAGTAAATGGTGTGGTAGGTTCATTTTGGTGAGTTTTTTTCTGAAAATAAATTAGTCAAGAGAGTGAGAAATCAATTAATGTCCTCCTTAATGTTTGCAACATTTGTCTGAAAGTTGTAGCACATTCATCTTATCACTATGCATCACAAACATGTTTAAAGTTTGCCAAATAAATCTAACATTGGAAAAAAAAAAGCATTAAATTCAGTCCTTTAAAATAGCGAAGACATCTAAAAAAAAAAATATTGAATTTTGAGGTTCACCCAATCAGTAGACTAAAACTCATCTGGATCATTAATGTCCTTTAGGGAAGGAAACTGCCATCCTTCCCTGGTCTGGCCTGCATGTGACTTGAGACCCACAGCAACATGGTTGACACTTAAATGCCCTCTGGGCAATTAGGGACATATAATAAATGCTGGCCTGGCAAGCAGCTCCCACATCCCATGAATGAATTTTTAAAAAAAACCTCTTTTTTTTTTATTTACAATTGTGCAAATATCTAGGTAACGTTTTAAAATAAGTCAACATGCTCAAACACCCAGTAGGATGACAAACAATGGATATGACAATTTTGGAAAAAGAATACTGGATATCACAATAGCACATCTGAACAAAAATAAATTCATAACAATATATTTTCAGAGCATTAAATGCCAACAAAAAAAAAAAATGGAAGAGATTGCAAACCTCCAGCTCTGTTTTATTCCTCTGTGCTAGTTTGTTATCCTGCCTTTTTTGTCCACTTTCACAATTGCTGTCTGTATGTATTGGTCTACTTCCTTCAGTGGATGATTTCAGATTATTTTCATCATCTGCTTTAGATTCATCATCACTTTCAGATTTGCCTTCAATCTTCACTATTTTTGACCTTAAGTAATCCATGTCAGATACTTCATTTCTCAATGCAACATTTTCCTGTGTTTGCTTTGGTTTGCCTAGAAGAGAAAAAATACTTTAAAGAAATCTTTACATAATACAAGCTGGCAAATTCTTTTCAGACCACGATCAATTTTTGCCCAGAAAATTTGAAACACTGTGCCATACATGTACAGCCTGTGCATTTCTTGCAAAACAAAGCAAGGAAAGCTTTGGTAAGAAAGCAGGTTTCTTCCTTGCAGAAAGTCTTTAAAGAAATTTATGTACGAGTTCCTCGACTATTGTGCCTGTGCAATTTTGTTCTAAAAAAGTCCACAGCAATTCTTCTACTGGTACTGGTACAGGTACAGGTACAAACAGCAGATAAATTTTGAAAACAAACAGTAAGAACAAAGTTGACTTTGGTGTCTGAGCAGAGAACTGTTACAAAAGAAATCTTTGACTGCAGCACACAGACACAATGTGTGACTAGAGTTTCCCAATCAGTGGGACATCTGAAGAAGCAACTCATGGAATGATAACAGAGGCATAATGATACAAAACATGACCAGGAAGTAAGGGATGTTTATACAGGGAATGACACTTCAAATAAGGACATTAAAAAGAACATTTTCAAGCAAAAATAAAATTAAAACGGGATACTTGAAACAAGGAATTCCTGAAAAAGAATCTCACAGGCAAAATTCATAAAACCACAAACTATAAAAATGGAACACGAATAAGGCAATATATGTAATGTATTCACTTTTTGCTTCTTCAATAGTGTCCTCCTGCTCCTCACTCAGTTCTTCAGAACCTTCAGAATCTTCTGAATCAAAGTTCAGATAATCAGCCAAATGTGTAGCATCCTTTTTCTTTGCAGGTAAGGTATCATTAGTCCAGGTTGGTACACTGGAACGGCTCTGATGTACTGCCAGAAATTCCTCAAACTCATCATCTTCCTTCAACTTTGGAAAATAACACAGTGACATTCCAGCAAAGAGAATGTGTACAGGTCAATACCGATCAAGAATCAAAAGCATTCAAACATAAATTAAAAATTCCTACTCACGTGCTCCAGGTTTTCAATGACAGGTTTCTTCTGTTTATCCTGTAATGGAAAATTTGGAATTTAAGTATATTTTTCCTGAATGCATTTTTCAGCCGATCACATAAAGTAAGCCAGGAGTTAAAAAGCATGAAACCTAATTCAGCTGGCTCTTTAAGCATAGATATCTTGACATTAAAACAGACCAGGCTAAAAACAACTTACCGTGAAATATTACATCATCATGAGACATTGGTAAAGATTTAGCACATTGTTTAGAAACAAACATAACGGTGTGAAGTCATGCACTTTGGCAGGAAGAGTTTGATTAAAAAAAAGAGTAAAGGTTGGGTGTCCTTTATCCAAAGCCACAGGATCAAATGATCTTCAGAAATTGAATAATTGTGGTTTTCGGATACAGCTTACTTACCCTATAGGTTACTCTTTATTTCAAATTAGTTTTATCAGCTTCCACTGCTGATCCTGCCAATATATAGTCTTGCAGGCAAAGATAACTGTCCTAAACTATTTAGTGCTGCACTTTTATTACCAAGTTTCCTCCTTTTAAAAATAGTCATGGACATTGATTATTCAGTCTTTTTGGTCCATTCAGTACATAGGAGCACAGGAACACTTATAGGCCATTCAGCCCCTCAATCCTGTTGTACCATTCAACGAGATCATGGCTGATCTATGGCCTAACTCCACATACCTGCCTTTGGTCCACAGCCCTTACATTTTTGCTCAACAAAGATATTATTTCAGATTTAAAATTAATAGCTGACAACATAAATTAACTGTTCAGGTCCATTCGGGTATGCCTGTTCAGCGAGGCACTTTTAAAAAAAAAAAAAAAAAAAAAAAACTTTGGGTTTTAGGTCTTATTGGATTTTGGACATAGGGATAAAGGATACCTAACCTGTATTACTTAAAAATCGAGAATTACTGTAGAATTCAGTGATTCAGAGAGATCTTAGTGTTCTTGTGTGCAGGTCACAAGAGATTGGTATGAACGTACAAGAAATAATTTAGCAGACAAATGGAATGCTATGCCTTCTTACAAGAGGAATTAAACGTAAAAGAAAGAATGTTATACAGGGCTTTGCAAGACTACATCTCAAATACTATGTGCAGTTTCGGTCTCCTTATTTCAGAAAGGGAGCAAATGCTTTGGAATTGGTTTGGAGGAGATTTACTTAATTGATAGATAACTGAAATTAGAAGGTTAAGTTATGAGGAAAAAGATGGACAGACAAGGTTTATCTACACTGGAGTTCAGAAGAGTGAGGGAGGACTTGATTGATGCATATAAGATCTTTGAATGGTCTTAAAAAAATGGACATGAAAAGGATATTTCCTCTGTGGATGAGTCCAGAGCCAGGGAGCAGAATTTTATGATAGAGATAAGGAATTTTTTTTCCCTCCATAAGATAGATCATCCACTCGGCACTTTTGGCTAAAGATTGTTGCAAATGTTTTTGTACTGATGTTCTGGGGTCTACCATCATTGAGGATGGGGACGTTTGTGGAGACTCCTCCTCCAGTGAATTGTTTGGTGGGCCACCACAATCTACAACTAGATGCAGCGGGATTGCAGAGTAGTCAATATTTTATAGCTTCAACAGATCCCTTATGTCCTCCTGCACTCTTCTTTGAGTCAGGGTTGATGCCCTGACTTGATGGTAATGGTTCAGTGGGGGAATATGCCAGGCCATGAGGTTATAGATTGTGGAGTATAATTCTATTGATGTTGATGGCCCACAGCATGGATGCGCAGTCTTGAGTTGTTTATGCTGTTCCAAGTTTGCACCATTTAGCACAGTAATAGAGCCACACAACACAATGCACAGTGCTCTCAACATGAAGACAGGATTTTGTCTCCATATGGTCTGTGCAGTGGTAACTCTTACCAATACTGTCATGAACAGAGCCATCTGCGGCAGTCTGATTGGAGAGGATGAGATCAATTTTTTTTTCCTTCTTGTTGGTTCCCTCACCACCTGCCACGGACCCAGCAGCTACATTCTTTAGGATTCAACCAGCTCAATCAGTAGTGCTGCTGCTGAATCATTCTTGGTGGTGGACATTTAAATCCCTGACAAAGACTACATTTGCATCCTTACCACCTTCAGCGCTTCCCCTGAAATTTCAACAAGGAGGAGCACAGAGTCATCAGCCAAGGGAGAATGGTTTGTCGTAATCAGCAGGAGTTCTCCTTGTCCATGTTTACCTGATGCCATGAGACTTCATGGGGTCCAGACTCCCAGGGTAACTCCATCTCCACTCCCACCCCTTCCCCGACTGTACACCACTGTGTTGCCATCTCTGCCACGCCTGTCCTGTCAGTAGATATCCAGGGATACTGATGGTGGTGTGTGAGGCTGTCTTAAGGTGGGAATCTGCAAGTACGACTTTGTCAGGCTGTTGATTGACTAGTCTGAGAGGCAGTTCTCCCAATTTTGGCACTTGTCCCCAGATGTTAGTAAGGATGACCTTCCAGGTTGACAGGGCTGTTTGTTGTCACTGTTGCGTTCTGCACTCCCAAGTGGTGCATCCAGTTTCAATCTCTTTTTAGACTTTGTTTTGTTGATACAACTGAGTGGCTTGTTATAAGTGAACCAGATGAGTCTTTCTGACAATCAATCAACAGCTTCATCGTTTTATTTAGACTCTTAAATCCAGAGATTTATTAAATTCAAATTTCACCTCTGCTGTGGTAGGATTCAAACTCGGCTCCCCAAAACACTACCGGAGTTTCTGTATTAATAGTCTAGGGATAATACCACTAAGTCATCACCTGCCCTGTGGTGCATATCTGGAACTCACTGTCTCATAAGGTTACAGAAATGGGAAGCATCACAACATTTAAGAAGTACTTCAATGAACACTTCAAATGCCATAACATACAAGATTCCAGACTAAGTGCTAGAAAATGAACTTAGAGCAAAAAGGCACATGAACATACATAGAGTCATTCAACACATTCAGTAAACAGAACCTTCAGTACAACTGATCCATGCCAACCAGGCTTCCCAAACCAAACTAGTCCCATTTGCCTGCGTTTAGCCTATATCCCTCTATACCTCTCCAATTTAATAATATCCTTCATACAGCAGGGCAACCAAAACTGTACACAGTACTGCAGGCCTGGCCTTATTAACATCCTGTACAACTGCAACATGCCATCCCCATTCCTACACTCAATGGTCTGAGCAATGAAGGCAAGTGTGCCAAACGCCTTCTTAACCACTCTGTCTATCTGTGATGCAACTTTCAAAGAACTATATATCTGAACCCCAAGGTCTCTGTTCTACAACACTGCCCAGGTCCTACTTTTAATTATACAAGTCCTGCCCTTGTTTGTTTTAACAAAATGCAATACCTTACATTTATCTAAATTAAACTCCATCTTCCACTCCTTAGCTCATTGGCCCAATTGATCAAGATCCCTTTGCAATCTTGTATAACCTTCTTCACTGTCGATGATACCACCAATGATTGGTCTTTATTTTCACGCTGTAAAACTCTATGACTGTTAAGTTTAATAGATAGAGTAAATACATTTAAGATTTGTTTTCAGTTCAGGGCCAAAGAGTCAAGAACCGAGATCAGAAGCAAGTTGTTCAGTTTAGTTCAGAGAACACCAGAAATGCATGCTCAAGCAAGTTTTAAGTTTCTCTCCTAGTAGATGTTTTCCAGCTCATTTCAAGGGAAGCCAGTCATCCCAGCAAAAGTGCCTACTTTGTGAAGCTTCCAGGCCAGATGAGTTTGAATATAAATCTGCAAGTTAATGGAACTAAAAAAAAATTCTCAGATTTGTGAAAAGTATATGGAGAAAAGAATTAAAAAATTTTCTTCACAGTACACAAGAAAGAACCTGGACGGAATGAGCTAAGTAAAACCCTAAAGAGTTAAGGCTTGGTTAATTTCTCTGGGCTGGCATCTTTGTAACAGATAGTGTTGAGCAACAGGTTGCAAGTTTGGTTTGAATTTCGTGTTAAGGTCTCTTTAGCTCTAATATAGTCCAGTGTATTTGTTTTGTTTCTTTTATATGAAGTGTTATATTGTTAAGGCACATCTGCAACCTCATGTGACTACGTTTCAGTGACATAACCATCACATTAACCAAAAGCAAAAATTTTAAAATGTGATCTGTCAAGCCAGATTTCATTCTGGGATCTGACTCGGCATCATAACAAGTCAGAATAGACTCGTAGAGTCATAGAGGCATACAGTATGGAAACAGACTCTTCGATCCAACTCGTCCATGCCGACCAAGGTTCCTAAACTAAATTGGTCCCATTTGCCTGCGTTTGGCCCATATCCCTCTAAACCTTTCCTATTCATGTACTTATCCAAACTTTTTTAAATGTTGCAACTGTACCCGTATCCACCACTTCCTCTGGCAGTTCATTCTGAAGCATCCACAGTGTGAAAAAGTTGTCCCTCAGGTCCTTTTTAAATCTTTCTCCTCTCAATTTAAAAATACGCCACCTTGTTTTGAACTCACCCACGCTAGGGGAAAGATCTTTGCTATTCACCTGATCTATGATTTTATAAACCCCTGTAAGGTCACCTCTCAGCCTTCTCTGCTCCAGGAAAGAAATCCCAATCTATCTAGCCTATCCTTATAGCTCAAACCCTCCAGTTCTGGCAACATCCTGGTAAATCTTTTCTGAACCCTAGTTTTTATGGATATCATCTCGATGAACTATGCAGTTTGCTCTTACTGGTGTTAATGATTCTGAGTATCCCAAAACTGAATAGAGTGCTGTAGATTTGTATAAGTTCATCAGTACATCTTTACTGTTGGCCACATGTTAATGAAAAAAAGACAGAATGCAAACTACACACTCTGTTCTTCGTATGCAATTTGAACAAGAACTTGAAGCAAGAAAGAGATGCTCTATGGATTGAAAATTATAAGCTGCTAACTGAAACAAGCTTTCTGTCTTTAGCTTTATGAAAGTGGCCTCTAATACTCTATCTTGTTCCGATTTTAAAGAAATTGCTGCATTTTCACATTGATTATTCATTTATGGAGCCACAGAAAGTTAAGTCTCACAATTAATAGAAGTTCCCTTTCTGAAATGGTTAATTGTTACTGACTAGACAAGAGAGCTTGATCAGTAGTTACTAAGTATGGAGTCTCATTCCTTCAGGCTATGAATTATTCTTGAAGTTTAAAAATATTCTTACTTCCTTTGTCTCTTTCCCTCACACTCAATTCTACTTCTCTTTTCTGCTTCTATTTTTTAATTTTGCATCCAATTTGATCCTGAATTTATCAGCACTAATTAATCCTTCTCTTCAGTCATTCTTATGTTTATTTTTCCATAGCTTGCATGCTAGAAAGTATGCACAAAGTTTTTTTTTTAAACAAATAGAAATATACACAAGCAAATCTAATAAACAAGGTATGCCTTGGAATGCCTACACTCCAGAAAAAAAAAATCACGACCACACCTGTACTTATACAAGCTACAATGTCACTGGGCTTTCGAGCTGCAATTGAATTCTTCAGATTATTACGTATTAGAGCCCTAAGATTATTTGATCATTCATACCTCTCAATGTCTTAATAAAAGATGCATTAACACTATCCTCCAATTCCTTGTTTTATTTTTCTTGAAAATGCATGCCTTGCACTTCTCTAATTAAATTAAAAATACCACTGGTTGTCAATTTATTATAATATAAATATTGAAAATACAGGACTTACGTGCCAATATGCTGCTCAGTTTGTCAAATCTCCTACAGCTGCATCATGAATCAATTTTGGTTTTACATTCAACATATACTGGTTTATTTCTCCTTTCCTTCTTAAACAAGAATTATACTAGCTAATTTCAGTTCTATAGTTCAAATTTGTATATTTGAGCATCACATGTCTGTGGACAGAATACCTGCTATCTCCTGACTTGTTTCAGTAGCTCATGGGGCATTCCCACCCTATTAAGGACTTCCTAACATTTATTTTCCAAAAGTAATGTACAATAGTTATTATAATTCCAAAATGTACAAAGCTTAAAAAAAAACACACTTAGTGGGACATTGAATCTAATCCAAGACATTTTAAAACAATTTTTCTTACAATTTTGTTTCAAATAATTGTGATTATGGAAGGTTTAATAGTAGAGTATAGGAAGACATTGAGTGATTACATTGCAGTTTTGATGCCTAACACAAATGAGTAGCCACAACAGAATTCAGCCATGATGCACTTTAACAGATAATTTGAATATACTGAAACCAGCCTATGAAGCAATTTCATCAAAACCTTCATCTCATTCCATCAATGATTTAGTTTTATAATAGAAGCCATACTGCGCCAAAGTTGTCAACAATGGCACTCCGACTTCTAAAGGTATAGAGGTTACCCCCAATTTTACAAGAATGTTTGCCATCATATATGATCAGGTATTCTAAAATAACAAAAAATAACTGTCACGTGGATAACTGTCACGTGGATAACTGTCACGTGGATAACTGTCACGTGGATAACTGTCACGTGGATAACTGTCACGTGGATAACTGTCACGTGGATAACTGTCACGTGGATAACTGTCACGTGGATAACTGTCACGTGGATAACTGTCACGTGGATAACTGTCACGTGGATAACTGTCACGTGGATAACTGTCACGTGGATAACTGTCACGTGGATAACTGTCACGTGGATAGTATTAATTTTCTGTACTTGGAGATCAGTGGATTTCCAGATACTAGCAATAAATGTTAGTACTTGGAAAGATGGTACAATACACTTCAAAATACTGCAGATCACAATTTACATAAATTAAGTGCATTTTGTAAATTAAACTTTTTTCATTTTTGCAGTGTAAAAATAATTTATATCGAGGTAAATTCAGGAAAGTTGTTGGTCTATTACCTTTTTTCCTTCACTTTTGCATTTTTGTTCTTTTGTCTTTTCTGGAATTTGTCCAGTTGGATTCTTCTGCGAGTGTTTGCTCCATGGTCTGGACAATCCTGGATCCCCAAATGATTTACAAAACTCCACCTATAATATGCATTGTGTCTGTTAATGGTTGTTAAAAGTTGCAGCAGTAAAACATTGAAACCTGTTGTCAACAAGTGTGAAACTTCAGAATTCCATCAATTCTCATGTACTTGCTACAACAGCAGATTTCATAAATATATAATGCATGCTCCCTCTCCGTTTGTGTGTAAACAAACTGGTGGCCCATTATACCAAACATGACTAAATAAGACAGTTAATAAAAAGAATTTACATTACTTGAGCTTCCAATTATTTTGTTTTCAATTTACAGAGGATGCTGTAAAAGCAAGTGTTCCTTTTATAGCATTATAGAACCTTCACATTCATGCTGGCTGTCTACATGACCAATTCTCCTATTCCCAAACCTCTGCCTTTGGCCTGTAACGCTGCAAATTTATTCCCTTTAAGTGCGTATACAATTCACAAAAATGCATCCAACACACTATCAGGCATTGAATTGCAGATCTCAACTAATTGATGTTGGAAATAAAAATGCTCTCTTACATCCCCGCAAGTTGCTTTGCCAACCAGCCTATATTGACTTTCTCTGGTTGTCAACACTCCCATCAGTGGGAACAGTTTTACCCTATCTACTCTATCAGTTCCTCATGATTTCAAGCATCATTGTTTAATCTGCATTGAACAACATCTTCTCCAAACTAACCACTTAATTGAAGCTCCTTATCCCTGGAATCCAGCCTATTCCAGTTATTCAGTAATACTGCAAATAAGCATCAAGGACTTCAAATACTCCTCAACCAAGAAGTAGCCATTTGATCGCCAAAGAGAAGTAAATCAGATTTTAAACAAACAGACTAATTCAGAGGAAAGAGAATGCTGGAAAATTAGATTCCAGTCAAGGCAACTACAGATTAGTTGTGGAAGTAGTAGTGAGGGTCAGTTGGATCATGAAACATCCTACCACTTTTAACATGCAAAAACATCAAATACCCAGAAAATACTGCAAGAAGAGTGTGAAGTGTAATTTTAAACAATTAAAACTTGCATTTCAATTCTTATACTGCTAATGGCCATTGAAAATATACTCCACATAGGTTTTGGCTAAAGCACTAAAACAGCTCGTTTAGTCCATGCATTTTTGCTCAATGACCCTCCTGCCTAACCCAATCAGCTTATTCCTCTTATCCTTTCTTCCTCATGTATATAGCCAGCTTATACAACTTTCAACAAACCCATCTTCCACACTTTTGAGTCAAACTGTTTCTCTAATGAATTCCTTGCTGGGTTTATCAGTGCTGAGGACAAATTTGCCAAGCCATCAGAAAAGATTCTCCAACTACCTGGGGAGTTTTTTTTTTACCCCAACTGTTCAATTATGTAACTAAATAAGAAATAAACCTCAGTCATTCCAAAAGCAGCAGTAATAGAACCCTTGGAGATATTGTACAATAAAAATACCTCCTCACAACCATGCACAGATTCTAGATTCATAGGCTGGGACTTTTTTCACTGGAGCATAGGAGGTTGACAGGCAACATTATGGAAGTTTATAAAACAATGAGGGGCATAGAGTTAACTGTAGGCGTCTTTTCAGACTGGGGTCACATTTTTAAGGTGAGAGGAGAGAGAGATTTCAAAAATAATGAAGCGCAATTTTTTTTTTTTTAAAACACAGGGTGGTTCACATGTGGAATGAACTTCCCGAGGAAGCAGTGGATGTAGGGACAATAACAATTTTTAAAGGACATTTGGATAACTACAGGAATAGGAAATACTTGGAAGGAAAAGGGCCAGGAGCAGGTAAGGTGGGACTAGTTTCATTTGGGACTATGTTCAGCATGGACTGGTTGGACCAAAGGGTCTGTTTCCGTGCTGTGCAACTCTTATGACTAGGACTCTCTAAACAAGAGAAAACTAGACTACTGCACTTTGTCGGAAAGCGCATATCTGAAAGATTAACTCAACAAAGGTGCCAACAGGTTTAAATATGGGCAGCAATAATTTCCTTAAATGCAGGTATTTTAAAACAACAATATAAATTATGGGGTACAACATCCCTGGGCGATGGTGACTGCAGCATGTTGTCAGCTTTTGTCATCATCAATTCCTCTGTAACATTCATCATAGCCAACATTCCAAAATCTTCTGCTGGCTGTTTTGCATTGTCCATCTTCAAACCAGCGAAATAGTTCCACTCCTATCTGATCAAAACAGCCACACATCTCCTGTGGCTTCTCTTTCCATGCACACAGGCACATTTGAAATGGCCAAGACAAAAAAAATTCTGCAGATGCTGGAATCCAAGGTAGACAAACAGGAGGCTGGAAGAACGCAGCAGGCTAGGCAGCATCTGGAGGAAAGGAGCAGTCAACGTTTCAGGTATTACCCTTCTTCAGGAGTCCTTCCAGTGTCCAGGTGTTCATCCAGCCTCCTGTTTGTCTACGTGTGAAAGAGCTTTTAGCCCCTCTTCTTCATGTATATTGTACTTTAATGTCTTAGATACTACTGAAGCCCATAAACAACAAGACCTGGACAACATACAGGCTTGGGCTGACACCACTCATGTTACACAAGTGCCATGCAATTTAAATGGAACAGATAAATACAGCCAAATTTCCAGGGTACGCTGGTGGAAGTCATCTCATTGGAGGGAGCAAATTTTTTTAAGCTGACTCAAGTGTACAAGCATCGATAAAGTGCACAATGCTGCATCAAAACATGTTGCTGTTTCAATATTATTGCTGATGAAGGTTAATACAAATGGAGGCAACAAACACAAAGAATATCAAACTTGAGGAAAAAGACAGAGCATTCTAAAATCTAAAACTGATTCAATGGTAAACAAATAATCCTCTGTCAGTGCCCAAATTAACTTAAGCAAATATGTTAAGACTAACTGCATAGTAGTAAGTATATTGTGTAAACCAGTTAACTATGGCATGAAAAAAGTTGAAATCTGTAGTCTCTTAACAACTAATCATCAAGATTGCATCCTATGATTTGCATGAATTTCAAAATATCCCTTCCAAAGGTGTACCAATATCTTCAGCAAAACGATGTCATAAACATCTTCGAAGATAAGGTCGTCTTGGAAGACGTACAACAAACATTATGACAACATATATACATTATGTATACATAAACTTGTGAAAGAATATATGCTTTGAAATAAAGTAATTATGTACAATACTTACAACAATTCTGGAAGTGTCTACGTAGCTCTTATTGAAGTGTTTTAAAGCAGCTTGTGCTTCCTCTTCTGTTTTGAAGCCAACAAATCCAAACTTTCGAAATTTTCCATCTTTTGTGAACTTCAGTGTGCAGTCTGTTAATGCTCCAAAGGCACCAAATAGCGTCTTAAAACGTTCATCCTTCATCTGGGAAATGAAAAAGTAACACAAACAACCAGAAATCAAGTTAAGACATGTCTTTGGACATGACTCTAGTCCTAGATTATTTCACACAGAAATTGCTGTATTATTGTGTAGATGCCAGACCACACAGATAGGTAAACTTGGGGGTTAAGTGACATTACGATAATTGACAGTCCAGTATTGCTTTCAATCACTCCATGCTCAGTGCAATGGAGTCAGAGTAGTGCATCCAATCAGTTCAGTATATGTAAAAGTAATAGTCAGTAAGCACCGAAACCAGAATGTACAGTAATATAGCAATGTAAATAAATGTCTTTAATAAACGTCAAGACATCTGCCTCAACAGGAACCCAGTCTTTGTGATAACACAGTGTGGAGCTGAAGAAGGGTCCCGACCCAAAACGTCAGCTTTCCTGCTCTTCTGATGCTGCCTGGCCTGCTGTGTTCCTCCAGGTCCACACTGTTATCTCTGACTCTAGCATTGGCAGTTCTTACTATCCCAGTCTTTGTGATATTTGTTGGAGTTAATGAACAGAGAAACACTCAGATCATAACTTACTGGCAGTGATGCTTAACCCATCAAAGTGTGACATGGTGACAGCAAGTGGGCATTAGAAACTGGTGGCAGCTAACAGCAACAGCTAGTTAGTGCAGCGAGCTGACGACAGTAGCAGTGACAGTTGTGAAGACTTCTTTCCCCAAATAGTCATGACTGATCATTCACCAGTCTACAACAGCCACCAAACTGAAGGCTGTATTGAAGCATGTCAACCACAATGGAGAAACAGTTGTGAGTACATTTACTCACTTTAGAAAAAAATAGTAGGCCAAGGTTTGTCGAATATAAATAATGACAGTTTGCTGGAGGCTCAAGACATTCCCAAATTGGCAATGCAACCCTAAGACATGCAGCCAAAAGCACTGAAAAAAAAAATTACATATATTGTTAAGGCCTTACCTGTGTGTAGTTGCCAGTCAACTGCATCATTTTATTTCCCACAAAAGACTAAGCAAAAACATATGAAAACACGCATGATATTGCTCTGATATATGTTGGTGTGAATGCCACATACAAGTACTGCCCAACTATTTCTTTCAAAAGAAATAGAAAGCAGGTAACCTCGGAAGCACCAACAAGAGAACAAAACAGATGGAAGCCAACAAAACAAAGCAGGGAAAGAAAGATGGATAGTAAACACCTGGGGATAAACTGACATTCCACTGACATTTTGTCAGAATTTCAGTTCAAGAAGGAATAAATCTTTATTTCCCAGATCAACAAATCACTGTTAAAAGAAAGACAATTTAAAAGATTGAGTCAATTTCAAGATGTACAATCCTTCTAGACAAACCTAAAGAACATGCCATTGACACAGAGCTAAAAGGAGAACGCATATTCAAAACAATTGCTGTAAGCCAGCAACATGCTTGACTTTACAACACTTACTGTAGTCATCAAACTCAGTATTCCTTTAGGAGATGTGGCTTGTCTCACCCTCCAAAACATTGTCAGGTATTTTGTGACGTATAAAAGATATGTCCTACAAGAGGAGGTTGGACTGAACTGTGCAACACAAAGCTCCACAGCAGCGTATGATGAAGAGTCAAAGAAGGAACAGTACCATCAACATTTCCGAAGTTCCATTCATGTTGGCACGCTTGTGTGCCAACAAAGTCCAAGAAGCACGTACGACATCATAGCTCACTGACCCCTGTTGTGTCCAGATGAACAATTTCACACACAACATGAAAGCCGATAAAAAAGCTGAAGTTCCATTCAAGAATTATACTCGAAAAGGAATGGACAACACACACCTTATGCCAAGACTGTCAGTGATGCAAGTGCAAAATCGTCTCTTTATGCATCTTACAAGAGATGTATTTAGAGATGAAGTCCTATGGACAAGCTAAATGCTTGCAATGGGTCTGACATCCCATACAGTAGCATTATTTGTCTGCAATGCCAATACAGTTCCTTACAATGGACACCTGAAATTTTTTTGTCAGATTCACAACAGGACTATGATTAGTCTACAAGTATACATAGATTGATGTATTATTACAATCCATGAGATAATAAACATGTCTATTACAATACAAAAGATTCTAAACCACAACATTGAGTCTCTCCATCACCTGACTAACTTTTCCCCAGACAGGTTTAACATTATTAGCAACAAAGATAACGCCTAACACATCAACTATCTTCCCTTTAAATGCAGCATTCACATTCAAGTAAAGTTCAAACTGGAAGTGGACTCCATTATACAAAATGACATTATCCAGAGGTTGAGCATCATACTGGCTGACATAACCTTAATTTCTTGTGCTCTGAACAATGAGCACTGTAGAGATATGTTCAGATCCAAAGTATATAAATATCAGCACCAATTATTTTTCCAAATCAACACCAAGAAGGGATATTAGCTCATACACAGGGGTAGCACAGTGACTCAGTGGTTAACACTGCTGCCTCACAGCGCCAGGGACCTGGGTTCGATTCCACCCTCAGGCAACTGTCTATGGAGTTTGCACATTCTCCCCACTTCTGCATGAGTTTTCTCTAGGTGCTCAGGTTTCCTCCCACAGTCCAAAGATGTGCAGGCTAGATGGATTGAACACGCTGAATTGCCCATCGTGCCCAAAGATGTGCAGGCCAGGTGCATTAGCCATTGAAAATCCAGGGTTACGAGGATAGCAGAGGGGGTGGGGTGCTGTTCAGAGGGTCAGTATGGACTTGATGAGCTGAATGGTCTGGTTCCACACTGTAGGGATTCTAAGATTTTTTTTAATCTTTCACCAAAGTCATAGGGACTGAAAACTTTTAGAACATCTCTCACTAGACATCATTTCCTCAGATTACCCTCAATCAGGTTATGTGAATAATATCACCAAGAATCCACCAAATTTTCACTTTATCATAGAACACACTGCAATCCTCAGAAAAATTAAACATGCAAATGATACAAATCTCCTTCAGCTCATGACACTGGCAAGAAATTAGTGCTTCTTCTAAAAGTACATAAATGTAAAATACGCATAAACAAAGTTGATTTCTTCAGTTCAATCTACTTGTCAAATGCCATTAGACATGCCACCAAAATTGAAGATGTACAGAAGATCCACACCACAAGATAAAGATGATTTACAATGGAATCTTAGTTTCTTCAATTTTGATCCACCATTATTCTAAATTTTGCAACCATGTCATCTCCTCTTCGCGACCTTCTCTGCAAAAATATACCACACGTGACAGGAAGACCACTAGTCCATTTTTCAATCTCTCAAAAAAGTGTTCTTCAGTATTATGCTCCTTCAATATTTACCACATCAGAAGTAGGTATATCCGATAAAGGCCCCAGAGCATATCTATCACAGGATTGGAACCAAATGTAGTAGGTTAGCAATGTTTTTGCATCAGCTCAGGCAAATTACTTCAGCATTGAAAGAGAAACTGTTGTTCTAGTTTTTTGGAATACAAGTTTCACAGATAACTACTGAACAAGTATTTCGTTGTTCACGCCGACCGCAAACTGTTAGAAATCACCTGTCAAAACCCTCTGAAGTACAGCTTCAGTGATTACTTATGACAATCCAATTTAGAACTACAACACAAACCAGATTTCCAAATGACTAGCTTGATACTCTTATCTGACTTCCAAGGCCGTCTAGGAACAGAGATATTCCTTTTGATATACAAGTGGATATTATTGAATCTAAGCTAGAATATTCTCTCAACAGCAATTCCAATCATTTTGGTCATAACCAAGCAAAGCAGATTCAGCAAGCTATATCATCAATGACCGAGCTGCAACTTCATCAGCACCAGGTGGCCTGAACACATCCAACAAGTTCCTAGGGGAAAAGGTTCATTCTGGTGATAGAGATAAATTAGGATCCTCCATGAATATAATTTTTAACAATAATAAGCAGCAATTCAAACAATGTCAAGACACCCAAAACTATACAAACACATCACATGAGCACCCAAAAACAACTAAGTGATTGATGCATAAATTCATTTATTGGCCCAACATTAATAAAGACTGATCAACTAATCAAGTTGAGTGAAACATACCAACACCATCAACCCCAACTATTGAGAGAACCTATCATCCCATGTAAAATTCCTTATATGCCATGGTGTAAGACTGCCTGTCTAATATTTTAGATGTCCAAAGACATTTTTACATTCTGTTAAATGAATATTTCACCAAATTCTCTTTTATATGACAAAAGAAAGATACCAGTGCAATGATTTTTATACATTGGCCATGATATTCAGTGTGTTCAGTGTTCATAAACAAATTGTGTCTGACAGCAATCCGCATTTCACCAGTGCATCCTTTCAAGTGCTGGAAATGACTTGTTCATCATATACCTCTTCTCTTTACTATCCTCAGCCAAACAGTCTTGCAGAATACACTGAACATAGAAAAATCTATGATCGTCCATGGAAAGCACTTTGCCAAAATTTTCAGATGACTACGCCAAGTACATATCTTACTCAAGGAAACAATTTACCCAAGGAAACAATTTACCCACACTGATAGCTCTAACAGTTGGAAGGCAAATTCACACAATTCCTCTCTCCCAAAGTTTCACCCCCAGACCAAAATGGGACAAGAACATGATCAATGAGCATGCAGACAGTTATCCCAACATGAACCAGCACATAGCAAAAGACTAAGATTTTCATATGGACGCATGGGTTCTCAGAACGTCACCAAGGTCACATGACATTTTAACGAGAAATGGTCCAATCCTACCAAGAGACAGGCAACATATTCAAACTGCATATAACAAACCACCTATCAAACAGGATAACAACTTGCATGCTGAAAATATCATGCCAGCCAACAATCATGCATCTACAATAAATGATGTACATCCATCTGTGATGGGAGATAACACAAGCCAGGTTGTGATAACTACATGAGAACTAAATCTAGTCAGGTCATCCATCCACCAAGGCTAACCTGAATGTACAGTGACAACGTATCTATGCCCAATCCTATACAGGTTTGGAAAAGCAGTCCCATTCTTTAAAGGGAAAAGGGAAATGCTGTATTAAAGCATAGATTCCAGACCAGACAGGCATTTAAGACAGTTACATGACATCACAAGTCTGGTCTGGAAGTTGTTTTCAGTCACTCCCTGTTCAGTGCAACTGGAATCAGTGCTGTGTGTTCAGTTAGTTACTCGTGTACAAGAGTCAGTAAGCGCATCCACTCCAGATTATATGTAGTCTTCTAGTTCAGAACACTACTACAGCATCAGAAGATCTGGTCTTTATGACACACATTATACGAGTGAACATACAGTGAAGCACTCAGACCTTAATAATAGCAGTGGTATCTGACCCAAGATAGTATGTTAGAAAGCAAACATAGCAATTATTCAGACATTTAGTTCATTCAGAACAGAACAAATGATTGAATAATTATATTATTGATTATACAATAAATCATACTTCATTATCTTTCAGGAACCAAGATATCTTATTCATAATGAATGAAAAGTTAATCCATATGGATATAAAGTTTAATCCTGGGAATGCAGCCTGGTTTAGACATTCTGCAACAGCACCGGAAAAGAATTCAAAGGCAGAATACATGGGTAACCAGAAGACTTGGAACAAAAACAGAAATTGCTGGAGAAATTCAGCAGGTCAGGCAACACCTGTGGAGAGAAGGCAGAGTTACGAGTCCAGTGACCCCCTTCTTCAGGTATCAGAAGACTTGCTTGAATGAGGACAGCCGCATATTTACAACAAATCGGGGAGAAAACAAAGCAAACCGACACAAAAACAAATTTGCAACAGGTCCGACAGCATCAGTGCACAAGAAAGCAGGGTTAACGTTACGGGGCCAGCGATCCTTCTGCAGAACCTGCTGAGCAAGTTGTGGACTTGTGTTGGGGATGGACTGCCACAGTCCCTGGCCGGATTAAAGGCGGCGCAGGGTGAATAAGAGGAACATACTCGTGTTCCAGCAGCACGCCGTGTGTGTCGGGGGGGAAAGAGGTGCCACAACATGACAGCGTACAGGGCTATCTCCGATCCTCCACGTTGTTGTTGTTGTTGTCGAGATTTGGGATTCGGACAGCGTAAGGGCGGGGGGGGGTTTAACAAAATGGACACGAGATCCCCCTCCAGCACGCTCTCCCCGCCCCCACCCGGCCTCTTGGACTCACCCCGCTCGGCAGGTTCTTCACAATGAGCCGGGACATCTCGCAGCCCGCTCTCCCTCCCCGGGTCCTAGCGCTGTCACCCACCCCGACTTCTCCCCTCCTTGGCAACGGGCTCCCTGCACCTCGCGCTCCCTGTAACGGTCACACTCGCCGCGAGTCGGGGATTCCGGACGCGACACGCGATTGCCCACTCCCAGAACCCCCTGCGGCTGGCACGACGGCAAGCAGCGGCGGACCAAACTCTCCGTGCGCAATCTTCACTTCAAAACGGGCAAAGAGCTCACTCGCTCCCAGAGGAGCGGTGATTCTATGCATGTGCGCGGGGTGTCTTCTGGATGGATCTCCCGCAGAATTCTGCCCTGGAACCACATGAGGGAACGTTGCATTAAAGCAAAATGCTGCCGATGCTGAAAATCTGAAATAAAAACACAAAGTGCTGGAGAAGCTCAGCAGGTCTGGCAGCATCAGTGCAGAGAGTCCAGGATAATGTCTTCATTAGATCTCTTCACAGATGCTGCCAGACCTACTAAATGTTGTCTTAAGTTTAGTAATAAGCCAGATTTAGTTAACAGCCTGAAACAAAGTTAAATTTAGTTAACAGCCTAATTGAGTGTGAATGCTTATCTAATTGCCGTAATGTGATTAAATTGGTGCAGTGATTGAAAGGGAAGGCAAATCAAGAGGTTATTTATTGATTTGTGTAAATTTGACTTAATGAAGATTAAACCGAAACTGTAAATTAAACCAGGCGTGTAAGTCGATGAATAAAATTCCAAAATCCATACAATATGAATTTTTTTTTTTAAATTAAAAAAAACACAGTTTATAACCTAAGGAACAACGACTATATACTTGCCTAAAATAAAAGCCATGGATGATTTATGGGGTAAAAGGCAACATAAAATTAAAATAATTTCCACATGGAAAATGCAATGACTAGCACAAATCCTGGAAACATTTTGTTTCAAATCTATTCCTTCAAGTAGACATTGTTGGGTTGGCTACCAAATTCCATCAGGTGTTTGATTTACAAAGCACTCGAGTTGATACCAAGCTAGTTATTGTGCAAAACAATATTGAGTTGAAAGTCAGATCAAAGGACAGTGATTTTTGGAGACTGGTAAACAGAGTAAGATACTAATTCCTAACATCCTGTGCTTTTAATGTTAAAGCTTACTTTGGCTCCATATACATCTGTGAGACAATGTTCCTCCAATCAAATATAATCAAGTCCATAAGACATAGGAACAGAAATTAGGCCATTCGGCCCATTGAGCTGCACCCCCATTCAATCATGGCTGATACATTTCTCAACCCCATTCTCCTGCTTTCTCCCCAAAACCCTTGATCCCCTTGACAATCAAGACCTATCTATATCTGTCTTAAATGTACTCAATGACCTGCCTCCACAGCCTTCTGTGGCAATGAATTCCATAGATTCACCATGCTCTGGTGAAGAAGTTTCTCTTTATTTCCATTCCAAAGGGTCTTCCCTTTACTCTAAGACTGTGTCCTCGGGCCCTGGTCTCTCCTGCCAATGGAATCATCTTCCCAACATCCACTATGTCCAGGCCATTTAGTATTCTGTAAGTTTCAATTAGATTCCTCCCTCATCCTTCTAAACTCCATCGAGTATAGGCCCAGAGTCCTCAAATGTTCCTCATAACTGTCTTTCCTGCTAGGCTCCTCTTTGAAGGGTCTAGGCCCGAAACGTCAGCCTCTCTGCTCCTATGATGCTGCTTGGCCTGCTGTGTTCATCCAGCCCTGCACCTTGTTGTCTCGGATTCTCCAGCATCTGCAGTTCCTACTATCTCTCAGGCTCCTCTCCCAGTCAGTTCTGGTCAGATCTTCCCTCATGCCCCTGTAGTTGCCTTTATTCAATGTAATACCATTACATCTAATTCAATTTTCTCCCTCTCAAATTGTAGAGTAAATTCTATCATATTACGGTCACTGCCACCTAAGGGTTCCTTTACCTTAAGCCCCCTTATCAAGTCTGCCTCATTGCACAACACTAAATCCAGAATTGTCTGTTCCCTAGTGGGCTCCACCACAAGTTGTTCCAAAAAGCCCTCTCATAGCCATTCCTCAAATTCCTTTTCTTGCGATCCACTACCAACCTGATTTTCCCAGTCTCCTGCATAATGAAATCCCCCATGATCACTGTAACCTTGCCTTTCTTACATGCTTTTTCTATGTCCTGCTCTATTTTGTGCCCCAAAAGTCCATGAATCATGCCTGCGTCACAGTTACCATTTCATGGACTGTATATGACTAGCAGTCTCAAACTATAAACCAGACTTCAAGGCACTGGGAGATAATGTGCAGTCAAGGGTGTAATACTGAGACTTGTGGAGTAAAGGATAAAATGAATAATAATGTATGTTTGATTTTAAATTTATACTGCACTAAGAATGGAAGATGAGAGACCACTGCCTTAGGTTTTAAATAGTGAAGTTAGTGTCTCGCTAATGAGATCCTTATGAAACCTTTTTCCATGCATTTACATCTCATTACCAGCACAACCTGCTTTATTTCTACACAGCTTCCAAATATCCCCCCCTTCTCTATAAAGCTACACGGCACCAATTTCCAACATGAAAGTCAAAGCAGTAACCTAGAGACAAGCAGCTCACTTCCTGTTTCTCTGGGCCTTATCCGGCTCTGTCTGTGCCACAATATCCCTGGATGCTCGAAGGATATCTCCCTCTTCCAACCTTCATCCAAGCAAGTTGGCAACAACAAACCAACATCCTCACCATTGCATTGTGCCTGCTTTCGGACCAACTCATTATCCCAATTAGGATTTCAATTTGGAGCTCTGGATCACTTATGACTTGTGTACTTCTGCCAGCCTCTCAGTGTACAGGAACACACACTTATGCATCTACACAGGATGCTTCCAATCGCTCTTAGCTTCAGCTCTTAGTGGTCACACACTTATTGCTTGTTTGGAGGGTATCAGCCTTGGGGACTTGCATTTCTTTTAGGGAGAGGCAGCAGCTTTTCATGGCTCAGATCACTGAACAGTCAAGGGGTTAGAAATGAATGACATCATGCTACATTAATTTCACACTACAACATTGCCAGCAGCTTATTCAGCAAATACACTGCATGTTCTTCAAACAGCCATATGTGAAGGTCACAAAGGAGTTGTCCTTAGTGGGGTTAAGGGTGACTATGGTCAGTAAGGGTTTACTGCCATAGTCAGTGAAAGGGATCGTCTGATTGCAGTTCAGAAGGTTGGCCATGGTCAGATCTATAGTTCAGAAACAACCAATCAGGAATTACACGTCAATCAGTCCAGTGCTGTGGAGACATCAGTCCAGGTTATGGGCCAATGCTTCCTGCTATAAGTATTGGATAAGGCTGAAGATAACAGGAACTGACAAGAATTGACAAGAGGCTGAACAATGGGCTATTATGTGAATTTTTTTTTCTCTATTCATTTGTGGGATGTGCCCTTGAGAAGGTGGTGGTGAGCTGCCTTCTTGAACCGTTGCAGTCCTCCTGCTGTGGGTTGACCCACAATGCTATCAGGGAGGGAATTCCAGGATTTTGACCCAGCGACAGTGAAGGAATGGCGATATATTTCCAAATCAGGATGGTGAGTGACTTGGAGGGGAACTTGGAGGTGGTAGTGTTCCCATATGTCTGATGCCCTAGTCCTTCTAGATGGAAGTGGTCTTGGCCATGTGAATGGAATTATGCTGAGTCAGTCAAGTCTGCAAAGAGTTAAAACTGCAGGATGTCAGGAACTGCTGTCTCTACCAGATAAGACATGCATTTGGACAAAACATTCGGAATTGGTCATGTGCATACATAATTCTAATTAAGGCACACACTTGGCACAGAGACTTGTATATAAAAAGCCTGAGGAAATCCCTTTGTTCAACAACACTTCAAATGTTAATGTTGTGCAAGAAGTACCCTACATCAAGCAGAGTTTCAGCCTGGCATGCTGCAAACTCTCCTGGATAAGAATGTTTGGGTTTAGTTACAGAAATCAGGGTAGTGAAAGACAGTGATTGAGATATCTCTAGTAGTTAAAAGTGTGTGTTATTCATTTAGATACCTAATAAATGAATTGTGGTTTTATAGAGTTCTAAGTGTCTCCGCTGTATCTTCTTCTCTGTATGTATTGTTATCTCGCAGAGATGGGCAACATGATTTTGGCGTCCCTGTGGGAATTGACAAGAAGTAACTTTAGGTTACTCTGACGCCCTGCCTGAGCCTGAAATTAAGAGGGCAGTTGCCTCACATTAGGTCTAAAACTAAGTGGGTGCCGGGAAGGAGGAGGTGGAAATTTAGTAGTGAGAAAGACAAAAGGATCAGCAGACACACTAAGAAACTTAGCGCTAACAGAGAATGATGGGTCCAGGGAACTCTGACTGGAGAAGACTTCTTCAACAATACGGGGCTGGGGAATGGCAAGTACTGTGAGTATACCGGTAAGACTGGTATGGAAATGGGAACGTGTGGGGATACTGTCTGGAGTATGGCAAAAGATGATATAGAAAAAAGGGATTTTGAGAAAGAGCAGAAAGCTGCAGCAGTAGGTTGTATGTTAGAAGACTGGGTAGAAAAGCAATAGCAAACAAAGGTAGCCGAACTTAAAGAAGAGATGAAGAGACTGACTATGAAGGTTGGGAATTTACAAAGCCAGAGAGATGTAGACCTCATGCATATAAACCAGTATCAAATGCAGTGTGAGAAATTGATAAGGGAAAAGGAGAAAAGTAAAGAGGAAACTAAAAGGGCTCACATGCAGACAGAAGAGTTAAAGAGGCAATGTAGTGATTTGAAAAACAGCTGGGAATGTAGTGCATAAGTCAGGACAGGAGCGAAAGGGGACCTCAGGCGATCGCACAAAGTGTATAAAGCAGATGGAGAAGTTATAAAGTCAGATTTCTGAACAAAGAGGGATAATATTTGCATTTGCTACCGCACTCTTTGAGGAGGGATAGGAGGAAGATGGTGGCATCAACTTGGGAAGGCTAGCAGAGGAAGTGGCCAGATATGGAGAGGAGGACCCAGGGGAATGGGGTCCCCTCTGGAGAGAGGGGCAGAAGTAAGGTCTATTGCCCCTAAGGCCCACCCTGATCTCTAAAGGACAACAGCCAGCAGTGCCAGGAGTGCAACCACAACTGCCGACATTACATATACCAGCCCTAATGATGTTCAACAGCTAGGAGCTATGGTCATGTGTATAGACAATTGTCAGCCTGGGGATGACCCCCGACAGCTGTTCCAAGCTACCCACAACCCAATTGAGGCAACAAATGGGTTGTACTCCAACACACAATGACAGTAGGCCTCTCCAATATGGATGTGTGACGCAAAAGGGGTTGGGACAGGGAGACACTTAGTGAACGGTAGGG